TTTTTATGGTGTAGATAATTGTGAACTTGAGACAGGTAGTTGCAATTTGGACACCGATGATTCCCTGAATAATGATGACTCTGTAGATAAATGCTGATTTCAGATAAGAGAAGAAAGCGAGAATGAGAATTTTGAACAATTGAGAGGATCTGACAATTACAATGAACTAAGAGCACATTATAGACACGTGGACAGACAAACAGTCTGTGTCAGTTGTGGTAATCGGACAATATAATTACTGTACAGTTAAATGTTTTGTGTTGTCTTTTAATCTGTCATAATTATCCAATACAGTTTTGTTGTGACTACTTGGAATTGGACTTCTTGATTGGGTGTTGTGGAAGTTCTAGACTATTTGAGATTGTTGGTAATTCGTTAGACCATTTCGAATCCACAGACAATCATGTTGGTAATGAAAGTGAATGAAAGCGAAATATTTATTGAATTCCAGTCGAAATAACTAAAGTTTGATGAATATTTATCCGTGTCACGTTCGAATTTGTTGGTTTAGCAGAGGGCATGAATTAGTTTTTATGTGGATGTAGGATTTCACCTGTTCTTACTTGACTAATTGACATCCAGTGTCGGATACTGGATCAACTGAGTACGCTAACCCCTACGTCTTTAAATAATCAAAGCTGAGACAAAGCTAAACTGTTGGATATAGCTCACCAATTCCTTAATCGTGGACCAAAGCAGAGAAGCATATTAACTATTCAGTATTTTAAATCACTAAAATAAGTACGAACAAACCCTGATATTGTCTTGTTAAAGCCTGATAAAAGATCCGGCGTGGTTGTCAAGAACAAATGTGAATGTAAAGTAAGACATTATCGATTCTCAGTGATGAAAGTAAATTTATGCCTGATGGTGAATTTGCAGGTATTAGCAAAGTAGAGGGAAGAATAAATTCAAACCTAGTGAAACTGTTACACATGAATATTATTGGTAGGAGGAATTTAATTTCCTAAAGCCTATTGGTTCTGAGTATCGTCATTTACATGGATTACGTAAAATTCACAAACCAAACATTTGTTTACGCCCAATTTTATCAGTGCGTCGATCACCTACACATAACCGAGCTAAATTACTGGATCCTGTTGGAACACGTTTATATAAGTATTCTGTGAAGGATTCTTTTGAGTTGGTCAATCATTTAAGTGATATTAATATCAAGAGAAAGACAATGTGTTCATTTGACGTGAATTCCCTGTTCACAAATATACCTCTGAAAACGACTATTGATATATTATGTGACCACATATCTTTGAACAGCCTTAAAAAATTACCTGTTCCTTTAAAAATCCTTAAAGATTTAGCACTACTATGTATTGACAACGTCCAGTTCATGTTTGAAGGTGAATAGTTTTGCCAGGTCGACTGGTTGCTATGGTTGGTCCATTAGACCATTATTAGCAGACGTGTTCATAACACACGTTGCAAATCTAGCTGAAGACCTAGTCGTAAACATGTCTGTTTATAAGAGATATGAAGATGACATCTTAGTTATCTGGGAAAGAAAGGACGATATGAATTGTTTATTGAGTAGACTTATTACTCTGCGAAATCACATCAGCCTTTCATGTGAAGAGGAGAAGAATGATCGGCTTCTCTTCTTAGATATGCTAATAAGTAGACGAGAAGATGGTTCAAGCAAACGATCCATCTTTCGAAAACCAACGTTGACGGGCCAATACCTTGGTCACAATAGTTACTGCCCGGTGCAATACAAATGAGGTTCGATGAGCGGTCTGTTTAATAGGATTAATCGTGTTCGCACAAACGACGCTATTGATGGGGACGTTAGGTTGTTAAACAAAACACTAGTGGAAACTGGCTATCCCTTAAAATTCATAAATAGATGGAAAGGTCACGGTATACTGAGGCCTACTATAACCTTGGCAGAAAGAAACCTGTCTACATCATTTTTCGGTTTAGAGGTGATTCAAATAGCTTTTAACTGAAACAAAGGCTTAAATAAGTTGTTAACAGAACGTATTACGCAGCAAAGGTCTTTATGAAAGAGAAAACAATGTCCATGTCTCAGCGAAAACGTAAAACACACGGAAAAGATTGCGTCACATGCCACTGTGCTTATCGATTTGAATGTGTGTGTGGTCACATATACATGTGGAGGAGTAATCGTGATCTCCAAATTAGGGTGTGCGAACATGTACCTAAGTGGTTGCAAAAACGAATAAAATCAAGTGATCCAATAAGAGTAGATGATGAACATCCATTCATGGAGGAAATTCACTTAGTAAGTTATTATTCGTAATAATAATACTAATAACAATACCACTATTGCTGCTATTAGAACTACTGCTATTTCAAAAACTACTACTAACAATACTACTCCGACTACTACTACTACTACCAATACTAATAATAATACTACTATTACTACTTCTGCTACTACTACTACTACTACTACTACTAGAATTAGCCTATTAACCAATCTTCGGTCACCAGCTTCTATGGGACTGAATCTTCTGACGTCGCCCCACTGTCTTGTGGATCAGAACTCTAGGTCGAAGGCTCCGGTTATTTCTCCCTCTAAGAAAACCACCTGCTTCGGTTTGGTCACCCGGACAGTATTTAACTCCATAAGCAGATCGGATGATTAATTGTGAGTACTTATATTTGGCGCTTCCTTGTACCAATATTGATGTGTGAGAGAGGATGATAGTGATTGCTTGTTTGCTTAGTCAGACATGCGGATCAGCTGTCAAGTGTTAGATGAGTTATATATTTCCCTATCATTATTTATTATTATTTATTGTTCATTGTTGTTGGATTGTGTCGGGTTTTGATGAGGAAATATATTTACGCCCTAGTCAGGCTAATTACGTGCTCTTGATCTGAGTTGTATTGACGTTTTTTAGAATAGACACTAGGAGGGAATCTAGAGTAGATATTCGTCTAAGATAAATTAGGATCCCACTAGTGTAGACGGGGAAAACCGAGTGTTACAACAAATATTTATATCAATGGTTAAGATCATGAGTCAGTTGAAGCTAGACCACTATGGAAAACCTGGAAGCACTGGACGGCCGTTTCGTCCTATTGTGGGACTCCTCAGCAATGGGCATCCACGATCCCACCAGCGAGATTCGAACCCAGGGCCTTCAGACTCGCACTCGAACGCTTAACCTCTAGACCACTGAGTCGGCATCCAACGATATTAATGTCTAACCTCAAACAATCCACGAAATTACGTGACCATCTTCCATTGTAGTGAGGTAGATATGTCTCTACCTGACACGGATTAGCTCCACTGGTCAAGGCTTCTCAATAGAACTCCAAGAATTTCCTCACGAAGCTAATCACTAGTGAGCACATCATAATTATCAGTATAGAGTTGTGGAGATTATGATCTAATTATCTCAATCAAAAACTTAATAATCTCCACAACCCTATAATGATCACTTGTGTTTTTATGAATTATTATGTAAAATAGTAACGTATTGCATTTTTGTATTGCAATGGACTGCTAGTCTGTTACATTTTTATTTTTATATGAAGTTTTACTCTGTTTCATTACTTATTATACCATTTTTCACTTTTTCATTATTTAGTTTCTATTCTGTATGTTAATCATTGAAACATTGTTTATTCTGAACAGTTTCTATGTTCCCAATGAATGATACCGGATTATTTTCGCTAATTGCTATAAGGTGTTTCAGACAAGCTTGTGATGGACTCCAGTCTATAGTTGTTCAATCGGTTTTACATTCTGTCCTTACTCACTTCCCTTCTATTCTATGCGTATTGTTTTAGACTACTTATTTACAATCAGTAAATAGTTGTATTTCCAGAAATTTTTAAACTTATGTTGTAACGCAACTTTGTCGTGTAATATTCTGAAATATTTACATATACTTACAACATTTATTGTACTCATTATTATAACTACTTTATATCAATCACTCTATAAGTTATCTACAGTTCTGTGCATTTGTTTAAACCCAATGGTTTTCATAATGTATGCTCTTGGTTCAGGTTTTGCTCGTTGATAAACTGTTACCAAGTTTAGACACAGCTATCAACTGTCTTTTGCATTATCGCAGACTTTTTTTATTTCATACAAAAAGACGCATTAAACGCCACAGACACCTCGCAAGTTGAGGTTTGTAAATAAATTTTGTATATTATTCAATAAAGAACCGTTATTTTAGACAAATCGTTGTTTTGCGAACTTCGATCATGAGCGTATCTCGATTGGGTGACTTGGACGCTTCGATAGACTTAATGATAGTACATTTTACTCTTCCAATCTATTCCAATTTATTAAAAAACGGAATTTATTTTTGTTTGTGTCTTTAAGAGAGTTGATGACTCATAGACATCTTATGATTCCAGGTCGGTAAATTCTATTGCTAGTGGTGTTGTCTACAGTAATGCAATTTTCCAGACAAATTAGAAACTTCACACATCACGTGAATTTTGAGTTAGTGCCCTTGAAAGGATCCTGTACAGAGACTAATGTATGATCGGAACAACAATTCTTAAATCTGATTCAACTCAAGTTTATGTAATCCGAACGTGATCTTGTGTCTCTAACAAGCTTTCCACAGTAAGTCAAAGGTATGTATTTAACAATAAATAATACTCAGAAAGGGGTTTTGTGGATATTATAGTGATTTAACACTTGAATTCATGAACCAATTAAAGCTAGACTATCATGGAAAACCTGGAAACATTGAACGGCTTCAAGAGGTATTTCCTGGAATTCTAGTGAGTAGCTGTGACCAGTGGAGTTGAACCGGGTCTATTGTAAGATAATAACTTACTGAAGACAATGATAGACTGTGGTGCAATTCCAAGGATTGATTGAAGTTAAACAGTAACACCGTCAAATACCTGCTCACTGGCCCATAGGGTTAGGCATTCGAGGGTCCTAGGTTCGGATTTTACGAGTAGGATCGTGGATGTGCACTGCTGAGGAGTCCCATACTAGGAAGGAATGCTCATCCAGTGCTTCTAGGTTCCTCATAAATTCAACTATTATATAAATAATACACATAAATAAATAGTTTCGCATGTTTAACAACGAGCATTTTATCAGAAAAAACAACAACAAGTTTACCGCAATTTTCATCCATTATAACACTACTTCTACAACCTTCCGATTCTGCATCAAAACCATTTTGATAATATATATTTTCATTTAATGGGGTTACTGTGGTAATAGCTGAGTAATTATTTGTGTCTATAATGAAAAAATAAACCATGAATAACTATAAAATGAGGTCTAATATACTTCAAAAGGTAGTCAACAACAAAAAAACTGATGAGCACTATTAATTGATTGATGAAATTTATAATTAATATCTACCTAGTGATCAAATGATAAACATGAAATCTGAATACTATTAGAAAGAAAGAATTGTTAAGAACCATAGTATGTAGGGGTCAGTCAGTCAGTCGGTCAGCTACAAAGTAGGACCAGGCACATATATGCATCGGTATAAGTTGCCATACCTCATTAACACAACAAGATGGATACCGGATTCATAAAAGTAGTTAATTCAATGGTGGTAATACATAAAAGAAAGATTGCAATAAGGATATAGTACAGGAAGAAAGAATTAGTTCGTAGAAAGAGAGATATGAAGCGATTTTAATCTCTTAGTTTAAGGGAAGACAGAGAGTGTATACACCGACGCCATTATGATCGATTCTGAGCCATGTCACCCACAGTCTCTAACCATTGGTTACGATAGTCACGTAGACCCTAACCAAGTAGTCTGCATCTACCAACATGGCTCAGACTACAAGTTAATGACTTCAAGCACTGATGCCACGTTTTGGTTTGGCCGCCCTTAACTTTCTTTCAACCGTCTCCAACACCGGTTAGCATTGCGCATCGTGGTAATCGGTGTTCAGGCACACTCAACACGTGGCCCAACCATCTCAGTCGATGAAGACTCACAACCTCATCAACTGATTTACCATCATTTCCTAATACCCTGCATCTAACCTCACTATTACTTACCCGGTGATCCCAGCAGACGTCAGCAATATTTCTAAGGTATCTGTGGTCAAGTACTAGTAGCTTACGAGTGTCTTCTACTCTTAGTGGCTATGTTTCGCTGCCAGTGGTTTTTAAACCATGTTGATAGATGTAGATGGATAACCGCTATTAGTGGTTAGAGATTTTCGGTATTATGGCTTAGAATCCATCAAAATTACGCAGATGAATTCACTCTTTATCTTTCTGTATACCAATATACCTTCAAACATGCCTTCTAGAACCCTATTCCTCAGGTTTAGTTATTCTCATCGTCATTCCTATTACATTATTTAAAATTATTTGTCATACATCTTGTTAATTCCATCTTATCGTGTTAATTTGGTATGGCTACTTAAAATACAACTGAAAAATATATGAAACTCAAAACAACTATATGCAAGTCAACATCAAAGTTAGAATCTTCAATACGAACGTCAAGACAATTCTACTGTATGGAGCTGAAACTTGGTGAACTACTACAACCATCATCAAAAAAATTACAAGAATTTGTAAACAATTGTCTACACAAAATACTCAATGTTCGTTGATCGGATAACATCATCAACAGTCTACTGTAAGAGAGAACATACCAGCTCCCAGTTGAAGAGGGAATCAGGAAAAGATATTGGAAGTGGATAGAATATAGATTGGGGAAATCATCAAACTGCATTTTGAGGCAGGTGCTTACTTGGAGTAATGATGGGAAACGGTAAAGATGAAGGCCAAAGAACTCATTATATTGGGAAATAGAAGCAGATATGAAAGATGAATAACACCGGGAAAAGCTGGAAAGGATTGCCCAGGACAGAGTTGGTTGAAGAGTGCTAGTAGGCGGCCAACGCTCATCCATGAGGGGTAATAGGCGCAAGTAAGTAACTCAGGCCAACGCACATTTTCATCAGGTTTTACCTTAATTACGACTGACTGATCACCTTTGATTTAATGTTTTCGCAAATGTAATTAAAACCGAGTTACGCATGGATAGTAAAATTATGTAACTGCTCAGTTGTATTTTTCTGTACACCAACCATCTACAGAACATATCTACAAATCTTAAACAGACACAACAACTCTACGTAAATGATCTTCTAACAACTAATTCCTGCATAAAACGTAGTTCAATTTTAAGCAAGAGAAACAAACAGAAAACATAAAGATGAGTTCTATTTCGATTTATTTATCTATTTATTTGACACATAAATATTGATACAAAGGGGCACCGAATATATATGCACCACAAAAGTCGCCTGATTTGTGTATGGGCTGTGATAGTCTCCGGGTACCAGATCGAAGCAGGTGGTTTTCTTAGGGGGACACACCATGAGCCTTCAAATTAGATGTCACTTTTCGTCCTCTCAATTTCGTGAACAATAGTAATACCGCCAGAAGGCAGTGAGTAGGACTTCTCTGGCAGTAACTGTATACGCGTGGTTATGTGAGAGTATATCGAGAGGGAGACCGGACTCTCCCCACCCTCAGCCGTACCAGGGCATTTGGGGTTATCAGAATTATGTGCAATGCATTTCCAACAATGTGATCACATATATCTTTGTTTCCGCTTACCTTTTAATTTGTTTAGTTGACTTATTTTTCATATTAAATGTCTTTACAGTATATGTTCAGTCAGATTGTTCGAAATGTATTACACAAATGTATTACATAATTTGGATAACTTTCATCTTCTCATTGCATTATCGAAATTCATCAAAGGGATTAATGGTTATGTATTCTATTACAATCAGAGAAGGGTTTTTGTGAATATTATAGTAATTTAGTAGTTGAATTCATGAGTAAATTGAATTGGAGAGATCAATTTTCACTCTACCCTCGCATTCGTCATCCTGGTGATTCATGTATTAAGAAGACTAATATTCAATCGATCCATGAACTAAACGATTAAATTACTAAGAACACCACAAATCTCCCTCTCTGATTATAATAATCGTATACCCGACAGTGACTATCTCCAAGAGGTATTTCCTGGAGTTCTATTGAGAAGCCATGATACCTTTCTTATCTTCTAAATACAGAGTCTTATTTCGGGATTGGTTTAAATCTGTATCTATTTGAATAACACTATGATAATCTAGCTTCAAATGGCTCATGATCTCAACTATTGAAATTACAACAATCTCCACAAAACCCCTTCTGATACTAATCGACATATGCTCACTAGTGACTGGCTTCAGGAGGTATTTCATGGAGTTCTAGTGAAAAGCAGTGACAAGTGGAGTTCAACCTGATCTGCTGTGTGGCAGTAATTCACTGAAATAATGATGAACGGTGGCCCAATTTCGTGGATTGGTTGAAGTTAGACATTAACGCCGTTGGATACCTGATCAGTGGTCTAAAGGTTAAGCACTCGTGTGCGAGACCGATAGGTCCTGGGTTGGAATCTTGCGGGGCAGGATTGTGGAGGAGTTTCATAGTAGGACCATGGTGGTCTAGCTTCAATTGACTCATGAATTCAACTAATAAATTATGTTGACAAATTCCTTCAAACAACCGAACATCAGGATGTAAACGTTGGATATTTCAAAGCTGAAATTACAATTTATATTCCATGGAATTAAATTCAAATGACATAAATAGAATAATTTATTGTTACCATATCCATGTTCATCATATCCAACTTGAACATAGTAATAAAGTTATTCTATGATAGATAAAAATTAAATGAAATGATATGTCCCTATCATTTACAGTTGGGAGGAAAAACCCGACTCACACGTCCTCGTCGTGCCTCATAACTAATGGGACTCAGTCCCATGAACTAACATGAGCGGTAACCCAGATGGTAGAGATTGGACTGGTCACCCACTTGACTGATACCCACAAAGAATCACAGGACAATTACTCCAGGATCGAAAAACGACAAAACTTTCACAAAAATGGTGCACGCAATGTACGGGGATGCTATCTACGGGGAAAACTCCAATCGATTGCAAAAACAACTATTCTAGCCCCATTAGTTGTGCCGTTCTTCGATGTGGCCTATTTATCTTCAAAAGGGCCTACTAGGCTTTACCAACTTGTTTGACTAGAAGGGGATGGCATCATTTAAAGTTAGATTAGGTATATATTCTAATTAAACTGAAAATTGCACATCATATATATATTACAACTAACCTTGTGCTGATGAAAGTACACCATCTACAATATAGCATATTTCTTCTGGTTCATTAAAATTATTCAAAGGTGATTGAGACAAGTCTTTTGAACATGTTGACGGTTGAACTGTGGAAATTTCCTGTTTAGGTATATTATTATTTGTGTGTAAATAAGAATCCGTTTCTATAGTATCCAATGCAGATGTAGCTTGTAATGAAGATAAATCATGTTGATTATCCACTAAAGGTGACTGTAATTCGTCGTCATTATTATTATTTTCATCTAATTCCTTCACAAGTCTACAGTTACTGTGCACTGAAGAATTCGCCAAAGTTTCCTTGAATTCAAATTACAAAGTTGTATATATAAAAATTAGTTTGGTTCATTTGTAGAACTATACAGATACATAATGAAATAGCCAAGTCAACAATTAAAGCAAATGTCCAAAGCAAAACGACAAATAAAAGCCCATGATGAAAAACATCTTTAAATTAACGAAATCTTTTAAAGCCAATCAATTGAGTGGTAATTTTATGAAGGCTATTATCACCAGTCAGTCAGTCAGCAACAACACAGAACTTCGTGCGTACGTACATCAGTTCGAGTTGCCATACCACATTACCACACAAATACAATTCTCGATTGAAATCCCATAGTGGTAGAGGTAGTAAGAGTATAAGCAGCAATCGGAAAGAATAGGGTTGAAGTTATTCAAAGAGTATAATCTAGTGAAATAAATTTGTAAAAAAAGAAAAGGGACATGAAAAATTCAGAAGATTAGAATTTGGGAGAACACAAAGAGTGGATGCACGTGTGCCACTGCAAACGATTTTGGTAATGTGTCATTCAAGGTCTCTAATCATCGGTTTTTATCGTATCGCGGATCCCAATCAGGTAATCTACGCTTACCAACATGGCTCAGTCCACTTGTCAGTGATTTCATGGATTTGTGCCATGTTTTGGTCTGGTCGCATCTAGCTTTCTTCCAACCTACTCCTACACCATGAAACAACATATGTCAGGGCAGTCGGTGATTGGGAATACGTAACACATGTCGCAGTCATCTCAACTGATGAAGTTTTACTACCTCGTCAATTGATTTGCCATCCTTAATTAGTACCCGTTTCCTAATAACTGCATTACTTACTCCATGGTCCCAGGATATACGAGCAATGTTTCGAAGACACCTATGATCGAATAATAGTAAACTACGAATATCCTCTACTCTTATCGGTCACCCCATACTGTTAATTACCATGTTTCCACAAGTGTGAATAAGTTGATGAGGAAATTCTCGGAATTCTACTAAGAAACCATAACTAGTAGAGTTAATCCATATCAGATAGAGACATATATCTACCTCTGACAATCAAAGATAATTGCACAATTTCATGAATTGGTTAAAAATTCAACATTAATATCACTGAACCCCTACTCAATGATTTAAAAGTTAAGCATTCACATACATAACCCAAAGTCCTGGGTTTGAATCTCATATATGGAAAATAGGAAACTTACAATCAATATATTTTAATTAAAAATATAATCAATAAATTATAGTAAAAACAAATGAACTCCAAACATTACCTGCTCATTATGATCATCCTTTATATCATTATTCTTATTATCATTATTCATTACATCATTTGTAATCAATTGATTATTGATATTGATTGATTTCAATGTTTTTATTGATTGATTATATGATTCTGATAATTCATTGATAAACCAATCATTATTCATCGATATCATTGTATTTGATCGATTACTATTCTGATCTATATTATGTAATAGATTATTATTATGATGATGATGACTGAAATACTTTCCAGTTCTTGTTTTAATCATATCAATATGATGATGTAATTCAATGACTGATTGACTTTTATTAAAATTGAATTTTTCTATATTCTCATTATCATTTTCATCATTTAAACTAAATTCACTACTATTTGTATTCATATTCGATTTGATATGATCTTGATCAAATAAATCAATATTGAAATCATTCAATGATGATTGATAATGATCAATCAAATGATTAATTTGATTCATTGAATTATTTAATGATAAATTATGTATTTCATCTTCAGGATCTGGACTAGATATAAATGAACCATGATTGATTGTCATTGAAGAGAATTCATCTGAAATGAAATAGACAATGATTATTTCTCTCTCTCTCTCTTTCTCTTTCTCTCTTTCTCAAAATAACAATTAATTTCAATAGTTGGAATCATGATTCAATTGAAGTTAGACTGGGATACGTGTTAAGTATGCCTAATTATTGGTTTCTTAGTCTGAAACACTAAAGTTTATTGTTCTAACTATGTATTGACAATGTTTGTTTTGAGTTCGGATTTGTTAATTGGATTAGGAGAAGTCAAAGAGATAATGTATCTGGGTCATTGTGACTGATTCTGAGCCATTGACGCAACAACTCGACCCAAACTAGGTACTCTAGGTACACCTTGTTTACTTATCTTTCAGTGCAGTTGTCAATAACCTCATACATTAATATGTCCTCGTGATTTGGAAGTCTCTAACCTTCTCCAATGTATCACTACACTTTTCAGGTAGTTGGTGGTCGGGTATATGTTATGTATGTTCCAAGCATCTTACTTGATAAATTATTACTACCTAATCAGTCAATTCACAAACTTTATCTAGTGCTTTATGCCGAAACTTAGCATTGTTCGCTCATCGATTACAATATACATGAGCAATGCTTGAAATACGAATATCCTCTATTCCTAATAGCCATAATTCAATATCTGGAAAGTAGAATAAAGAATACTGGTATTAAAATACATGATAGCTACTCAATAAAATAGGTTTTATATCCAATAAAACAACACTTATGTCCAACATTATCACGATGAACATCATGATAAGGTATTACAAACAATTTAAGAATATCCATTAGAAGGTCACTTAGTCTCCAGTGAATTAAAACTGTACTCACCATATGGTATAGGAGTAGGTTGGAAGAAAGCTAGGGGCGGCCAGACTAAAACATGACACAAATCCATGAAGTACACTGACAAGTGGACTGAGTCATGTTGGTAGGTGTAGATTACCTGGTTGGGATCCGCGAGACGATAAAAACCGATGGTTAGAGACCTTGAATGACACATTACTCAAAATCGTTTGCAGTGACACACGTGCATCCACTCTTTGTGTTCTCCCAAATTCTAATCTTCTGAATTTTTCATGTCCCTTATCTTTTTTTACAAATTTATTTCACTAGATTATACTCTTTGAATAACATCTTCAAACCCTATTCTTTCCGATTGCTGCTTATACTCTTACTACCTCTACCACTATGGCATTTCAATCGAGAATGGTATTTGTGTGGTAATGTGGTATGGCAACTCGAACTGATATACGTACGAAGTTCTGTGTTGTTACTGACTGACTGAGACCACCATAGAAAACTTGGAAGTATTGGATGGCTTTTTCGTTCTAGTATGGGACTCCTCAGTTGATTAAGTAAAAAGATTGGTTTAGTAAACAGTTCTCTTCTTTCGATGAGTTCATTCACAAAACTATACAATCGCAAATATATATACATTTATTGTTTCAGGATAACATTCAGTCAGTCAGTCAGTCAGTCAGTCAGCTACAACATCGGACCAGACAAATATGTGCATCAGTTCAAGTTGCCCTACCTTATTAGAACAAAAAGATTAACACAGGATACATAGAAGTAGTTAATTCAGTGATGATGGTGGTGGTGGTGATAATAATAGTGGTAATAAAATCCTGTTAAACATGATAACAATGAAGTAGAATAAACAACTGACAAGTCCCATATAACACGAAACACGAGTCCTGGATTCCACTGCTAGTCACTATCCATCTATGCTTAAAAAGCATTAAAATGTTATTTATTTAACTAGGGAAACTAATAATAATTTATTAGTTGAATTCATGAGTCAATTGAAGCTAGACCACCATAGAAAACAGGAAAGCACTGAACGGTCATTTCTTCCTATTGTGGAACACTTCAGCAGTGCGCATCCACGATCCCGCCTCGCGAAATTCGAACCCAAGACCTTTAAAAATACTTTTATTATTTAGAACTTGAATATTAACCATGTAGATAAGGAAATTATAATTGGGAAATGAAAGCTCAGCATGACATAAAAAAATGTTGAATTTGGTATGAAATGTAATCAGGAGGATTATAGAAACAGAAGCAAACTAGTTGAGGGTTAAAGGTCTATAAAAAAGATAAAAGAGGAAGTAGATGATTATGAAGAGAGAAAAATATGGAGGAGAGAGAAAATTATGAGACATTAAGATCATAGTAGAAGAAGAGGTTGTTCCACATAGTTCTCGATTTTCCAAATATATAGCTACTGCTTCAATAATGTTAGGAAGATGCACTGACTTTGGCAGTCTATTCCAGTTACAATTTCCCATCTATCTGCATGATAAAGTATATATTTACGACCGTAAAGTGTTGAGAATGAATTCACTGAAAACAGAACTTTTCGTTGAACCAATCTTTCTTATTATATTGTCTTAATGGGTATATTCCATTTAGTTAAAAATACAAACAATTTACTTTCCAAGAAATCCACAAGTATAACATTGACAATCAATGACATATTATTCCTTATACATATCATTTCATTCGATTACTTAAGTTCCAATATTCATAGAAGAATATATGGGATTATTTATCAAAGGATGACTATAAAGATCACCATTTCAATCTTTGGTACTATATTTACATGAAGAATAAACATTTCAGTATAGTAAGTGTTAAGTCGGCTTTCCGAGAACTGCAACGGAGCCTCCAGAGGCCCTAAAGGAGCCGAAGAGTCCTAGCCAATCAGAGCATGATGGGAATTTCTAGAACATCAATGTGGCGTGCTACTATTGGTCAGTGGCATAATATGCCTTTTAGCGGATTGGCCAAAATATGATGCTGATTTATCAAATGTTAACATCTATAAATACCCGTGTTTTTCTGTACAAAAATGAACCTTTGGAGTAAAGCGTTTTCGCTTATTTTGCACCTTTTTCTCTCGAGTTCAGGTCGCTACGTAGTTCTAGCTTGCGAGCTACCAGAATAGCTTAGGAACAAAATAAAGCGTTCAAATTAACAAGACTTATCAGTAAGTTAATAACTAACTTCTTATTTGATCAAACGTGTCCTATTTGTATTGTAATAAACGAGAACACAAATGGAGACAATCGAATGTACTGGACCACAAAATTACAGCCCATCTTAGTAAAATCTAAAAACCATACAGTAAATACTTAACTTGCAAAATGTCAGTCAGTCGTCTTAGACTTCAGTGTTCCTGTATTACCATGCCAATCACTTTTTGTTCCCGTTCTTTCCTTCTAGATCTTCTTGATCTTCTGCTGCCAGACATTCTATTCCTAACTAGTGTTATATACTAAATATGTCGATATAATTAGCGCACATCACAGTATTATTCAAATTCATTGAAACAATTGAGTAGGAAATGGATTCAAATAATTCAACTGAGGTATGATAGATTGTTGAATTGTATCCTTGCGGCGCTAAAAGCCAATAATTTGTCGTGATTAATTATTAATTCCATCTCCAGATAAACAACAATAATTACTTTGAAAATATTTTCTGATATGCTTTTCATCTAAATATGACATTTCATCCACAGTCTCCGACCACTGGTTACGATAGTTACATGGACCCCAACCAAGCAGTCTGCATCTACCAACATGGCTAAGACTAGAATTTAGTGACTTTACAAACTGATGCCACGTTTTGGTTTGGCCGCTTCTAACTTTCTTCCAACCACATCCAACGCTAATCAGCATTGTGCATCGTGGTAATCGGTGTTCATGCATACGTAAAACGTGGCCCAACCATCTTAGTCGATGAAGATTTACAACCTCATCGACTGACTGACCATCATTCCCTAATACCCTGTCCCTAACTTACCCGATGATCCCAACAAATGTGAGCAATATTTCCAAAACATCTCTGATCAAATATTCGCAACTCACGAGTATCTTCTACTTTTAATGGCCACGTTTCTCAGGCGTAAAGTGGAACAGAATGAACTACTGTGCAGTATGTTAACAATAAACAAACTAACTTAACTAGACTATGTAACATGAGTTCCACATTTGAAAATGATGAATAAAGTCGTATGAAATTGTATCAATTAAAAACTTACTAAACCCTTTTATCTTTGATGATTCATTCCAAGTTCTGTTAGAATTATTTCTTGTATTGAAGTTATATTTTCTACGAACCGCATAACCATATCCAGAAGATGGAGAAATATGTGGGCTAGAAGAAGGCCATGTCATTGTTATATTGACATCATAGTTCCCATAATCAACATAATTAACAGGATGACAAGATAGACTAGAGTGTGAAATAATTCTTGGAACACCTAAATGATTCGAAGCTATATCTCCAGCATAATCCCATTTTAAAACATCATGGTTATCGGAAATTACATCTAACTGAGCGTAATTATCTCCTTGTTGATTTCTGTCAAAAGATCCCACAGTTTGACTAGAAGAAATAATTTTCTATAGTGTAGAAAATATGTTCAAGATTAGAATATATAATGGCGATGCTGAAACAGCACAAAGTCTATTCCAAAGGTATAAAAGATATAAGACACTAGAGTAACTGTTAGCATCTTGTCATTTTATGCGAAACATCGAATCACTTTTCTCATACTTATTAACTACTTATAAATAAAATAGTAGTAATAGTAGTAAAAAGACATCTAATGGAAATTTCGATAATTAGAATAAACTGTGTCTGAAATTCTTCATACTCATAAATTATCACAAACAATAAAACCAAAATATGACGAATTTGTGACTACTTCATCTGTTTCTTGTTATGATTACATGTTAAATTGTAGACCCGACCGTTGTTGCCACCATGACGTGGTGGTCGGGCTTGCCTATCATGATGAACCAACCGAGCTATAATGGCTGGAACAATCGTTCCTCAAGGTTCTACCATGCCACATTGGTCGATTCAACAGCGGTAAGAACAAAAGCAACAAACCCAAAGTGCGAACGCGAAGTCGTACTGCTGCCTGTACAGAGGTGTGACAGCAGTAAAGTGTTTCCTCCAGACAACCAGCATGACAGCCATGCTGCCTTCTCACAAGAAGGGATGGGGATAGAAAAGGTCGACCCCAAAGATCCACACCTCACATTATCCCACGGATATCCGTCTCCAGCGATAAGGTCTCAACAAGTGCGGACCCAACACGAAAATGACTCGCAAAAAGGTCGTGTGTGACCGACCTCAAGCAGTTGTCCCTTGGGCACTACGGTCACACTTTCAGGTCACTAAGACCACCTCTAATCCAATTTTGTTTTAAGGTGTCTCCAGAAGAACCCTTCCACGGTGTGAGCAACCGGTAAGTGATAACCGCTCTCATACCTCTAACAGCACTCAGGACCACTGTATTCATAAACTGTAGACTATAGATACGCTCCATACAAAGGTTAGAAATCAACAATTATGACTGTGTTTGGTTTGGTTTAAAATCGAAAAAGTCATTATTACCCAACAGTAGTTTCAACTGCAACTAAAACACGAATTAGATAATAAGTGAATTTAGTCTTATTAAAAAAAGCCTGTGCTTTAACCTAGTATTATGTTCTGCAATCCTATGAAACCACTATTGCTCTCCTTAAAGTTAATCAGTAAACTTTGCAGAGGAAGAAAAACAAGATTATGTAGGTAACTTTATCCTCAAAATCCAAATAGTAACGTTTACCGCTCATGAATAGTCATGTGGGTAGTGACTTTGGCTAGACTAATAATTCATCGGATCTCAAATCCCACTCATTTATTGTATATCACTTAACATGCTCGTTTTCTTCAACATACTACACCACGACAATTTCCTCCTCTATCACTGATTGCTTACCCCAGTTACGTTTTGTCCACCAAATGGTACCTGTTACTGTAATTTGAAATCTCATGCGATTCGTTTGAAAAATGAGAATGGTTTGGTATGTAAAACTCACATTTCTTCACCATTTTTCAACTCTAAATTAACGTTTTCTTTAACCAGGATCCCTTACGTTAGGTTTACTTCATTATTATCGCAGTCAAATGCATTATAGAATCTTTTGGTTATCTATCTTTCTTATATGGTTTTTATTATTTTAAGGACATCGTAGTTATTCTCCTACGCGGTGATTGTTTACCAGTTCAATGTCTCTTGAAGGTCGGAGAAAACTGGTTGTTACCTGGCTTTTTATGCTTGATTAACTGAACCCGATGAAAATAGAAAGCTATTGGGGTTTATTGAAAATGGCAGTCAGTGCTATCAGTGTTGCTTTGTTGGTTTCATTAATAAGACTAACAATTCGAACTTAACTGGATGTGTATATATATGACTCACAGGAATAACATAGTCAAAATATCTTTCATGGTTGTAAACAACTTACTTCCATTAATGGATATGGTGATGCTTTTTTTGAAATGAATACCATTGGAGTGTGGCATTTTGATTGATTTAACATTAAAATTTCATTATTCATATCCTCTAAAAAGTCGATAGAGGATTTCGCGTTTCTTACACTGCTATTTACTGCTGGCATATAGTGAGAGGTTGTTGGGGTTGTTAAATCGAATAACTTATTAGGAACCAGTGACAAAAATGAAGTCTGTAAATAAAAAAAGACTGCCGGTTTTAATCAGCACAACAAACCTGAATAAATGAAAATCCTGATACATAGTTCTGTCATAGCACTCTCGTAAACTATTCGGGTAAATGAACACACCAAAATCCACAACTGGTCTCATTTATTTGATTATGTCAAGCTTATTTTACACCATAGTAGTACACATGGGTTTTCTTCTGTGAATATAAATAAATATATGAAATCACTAATTCCAATAGAAGAATTATTATAGGCACCTATTGAGAATATTAGTCTATACACCAAGGTCCTCAAATACAACACGGAGAACAGCAATCCATTCACTCTCGATGGCGAAATCCTGGAAGATGTAGAATCCTTCACATACCTAGGAAGCATCATCGATGAACAAAGAGGTTCAGATGCAGACGCAAAGGCAAGGATTGGCAAAGCAAGGGTCGCATTCCTACAGTTGAAGAACATATGGAACTCAAAACAACTTTCAACCAATATCAAAGTGAGAATCTTCAATACGAACGTCAAGGCAGTTCTACTGTACAGAGCTGAAACTTGGAGAACTACAACAACCATCATCAAGAAGGTTCAAGTATTTAAAAACGATTGTCTACGTCAGAAACTCAACATACATTCGCCGGATACTATCAGCAACAGCCTTTCATGGGAGAGAACAAACCAGTTTCCAGCTGAAGAAGGAATTAGGAAAAGACGATGGAAATGGATAGGACATACATTACGCAAATCATCAAACTGCATCACGAGGCAAGCCCTAACTTGGAATCGTGAAGGGAAGCAGAAAAAAGGAAAGCCGAAGAACACGTTACGTCGGAAAATAGAAGCAGATATGAAAAGGATGAATAACAACTAGAAGGAGCTGGAAAGGATTGCCCAGTACAGGGTTGGATGGAGAATGCTGGTAAGCGGCCTATGCTCGTTCACCGGGAGTAACAGGCGTAAGTAAATAAGTACACCTAAAAGTTGACAACATAAATGTTGATGTGATTCGAATGTGATTTCCGTGTACAAAAGAGCCACACTCAATGACTTATTCTACCATAGCCTTGGCAAATTGTAAATGCGAATTACTGTCTTAAAATTCACCTTCTTTTTTGTAAAGCAAACAACTGCTTCTTTCACTCCCATTAACTATCAAGTGCTACTAACTCTGAACTCCGCCTGGAGCCCTTCTGGGGTTACTACCGGTCCCATTGCCCGGATAAAGGAGGAGGAATGGGCTTGGGGTTAGCGACCTCATCATTTAGAAAAGCAATTCGCCAAAAGAACGCTAATCAGAAAAAAAATCCAAAGCTACTAACTCCTCGGCATATTACGTATCACATGTTCGATACCTGAAATCTTTGATAATTTTTAATTACTTTGGTAAACGATGCAATACCTCTCTATATTCGTAGACTTCCATATTCCAAACTTGAGAAAACCTGACTATCAATGATAATTTCGTTTGGTAATTTTATTTTATTTTATCTAAACACATAAGCATTGATACAAAGAGGCACCAAATAGATATGCATCACATAAATCATTCGATTTAGGTGAGGGCTGAGATATTGCCCGGGTTACTAAATAAAAGCGAGTGGTTTTCTTAGAGAGCCACATTCGGAACCTTTGACCTAAAGGTCTGATCCACGAGGCAGTGGAGCAACGTTAGGAGATGCAGTCTCATGGTAGCCGGTGACCAGTGATTGGTTCATACGCCGCTTGTTCCTTTGGGATACTGGAACACATGTACACCATTGGTTTGGAATGAGGGTTTTCCAACTCCCTCACGTGGACCCTCCGTGTAAACTTACCCGGCTAAAGCACCGGACACTCGCTTTTCATCCTCTTAATTTCGCGAACAACAGTAATGTCACAAGAACGTATTGAGTAGGACTTCCCTGCCAGTGGTTGTATGCACGTGGCCATGTGAGAGCATTTGGAGAGGGAAAGTTGACTCTCCCCACCCTCGGCCGTTTCAGGGCATTGGATGGCCCGTTCAACAATTTTCCTCTATTTTATAGTGGACAACTGCAAGCAAAACTAACTATGAGTACTATTGCACAGCCCAAAAAATGATGTCATCAAAAAGAAATTCTTTCGTTGAATTATTTTCATTTATTTATTTATGACATAATGGGTTAACTTCGTAATAATAAAAATCATATCTTTGTGGCAGATGGGAACATTTATCAACTGAAATGGTCGTCGGATATACAAAAATCCGGTAAAATTGATATAACAGATTGTTTAAAATATTTTTTTCATTCTCAAGTAGACTGTAATAATACATTAATAAGATAATGAGATTAGTTGCGTTATATAAGATTCAGGATTCCCGACTCAGAATAGAGAACCAGAGTATAGACTAGATAGTACTTTACTCAACACAATTACAAGCGGTTACTCACAGCGAGTCCAGAGTAGAGATCAATAAGAGGAAAAGGATTCACACATATTTAGTAGTCAGTGGGCTACTTGCCTGTTTGTCCACTCACAGTGACTAATCTTATTGTACTTTCACTATCACATATCAAGATTAATCTGTTATTAAATTATGTAAAGTCATAAAATAGCAGAATACACCCATTAACCAAACAATAGAGTTCTGTGCTTAGTTGGAATGAGACTGGATTGGTGCTCTATTATTTGAACGCTTAAACTCTGACCATTAAATCACAATTTTATGCTGATATTCCTTTGTTGAAGTCTAAAGAATCAACCATCGGCAAACATATAATACATGTGAATCAAACTATTGTATGATGAATAGTTACCAATAGAACACATTCACATCCCTGAAAAATGTAGAGGAACGTTATTTTCCCATAACAATTAGTAGGAATTGTAAGTAAATAATCATAATTGAACTAATGCTAAGGTTAATGTCAACCTCTAAAACCTAATAAAGATAGTCATACTGGATCGAATGACAGAGTCTACAAATTTCTAGAGTTCTTTCTAAAATTAGCAAAGCAATCAAGCAAATACTACAATGGAAATTAACTTCCAATGTTCAACGCTTAATTAAAGTTTTAAGGGCTATGGTTCAGCTCATAATGTACTCATCAAACTATTGCTAAGTCAGGCTATGAAGAAGCTGTATTTACTGAATCATAGCGACTACAGCTTATTTCCACTAATCTATGTTCAAAACAACCAAAACAGCGTACATATAAATGATGACCTTTGGTTTGGGTTATAACTGAAACCTCATGTTTTCTCTCAGTGTCTCTGTTTCACTTATCCCATGATCATGATACGCCGTGAAACTCAAAAAGGTGTGTATGGTCTATTCGTATCATATTTATCTCCGATTTGGTGACGAGATTTTGTATTCATCAGAAAATCTAGAAAGAAGTTTGAACTCTTGGTAAGTAAAATCGACTATGGAGGACAGACAGAAACATGCATTGATCTCAGCTGGTATACTGTACAACAGATAAGTAATAATATAAATTTGATTGTCACCAATAAAAAACTGATACCAAAACGTACGTAGATATCGTAACTTATGTAGGAGGTTATGAGTGACTGGATTGGACTATTTTCGTCCAAATCAAAATTATAATCTTAAAAACAATCACGATAATAACTAAGGCACTCTTAATAACAATAAAATATATACTATATAGGAAAATTACAATATTAATGACTAAAATACCTCTGATTCACTCGTCAAATTTAGTTGATTTGGGCTAATTTCTGGATTGTGTGGCATGGTAAATCCTTCCGGTGTTTCACGTCTGTTGTGTGAAATTTGTGGAGTGTCCTGTTTAGAATCAGTTACCGCAGATGTTGGATCACTGATTAGAGAACTTGTCATCGGTGTCGAATCAGGTCGAGTAGACAACGGTAAATACAAACTATAGTTTTGACGTACAGTTGGCAGTGGCAAAGACGTATTATGTTGAAAGTCTTCAACTAATCTGCTTTCCATCTAGTTTAAAACAAATAAAGTATGTGTGTCACTATTATGCACATATTAAAGTTATTCAACAATGAAATTATGCTAAACTAGATAAATGCCTGACAACATCTTTAGAACTTGGGTAATTCAATTTCTAATGATGCAAACTCTGCCATTCCGATAACTTTCTAAATCACTCATACTTCAGAGGAATTAAAGCTTTGACGGAATACTTTGTCAATAAAATTATGCAATCAAGCTTAATCAGGTGTACAAAAGTATTAAATGTAAATGCTTACATCATTATAAATGTTTTGATAATGATTAATTTCCTCGAACTTCACCTGATTGTTGTTGCCACCATGACGTGGTAGTCGGGCTTGCCTATCATGATGAACCAACCGAGCTATAATGGCTGGAACAATCGTTCCTCAAGGTTCTACCATGCCACATTGGTCGATTCAACAGCGGTAAGAACAAAAGCAACAAACCCAAAGTGCGAACGCGAAGTCGTACTGCTGCCTGTACAGAGGTGTGACAGCAGTAAAGTGTTTCCTCCAGACAACCAGCATGACAGCCATGCTGCCTTCTCACAAGAAGGGATGGGGATAGAAAAGGTCGACCCCAGATTAAAAGGATAACATGTACTATTATTAAGTTTATCGAAGCGTCCAAGTCACCCAATAGAGATACGCGCAAAATCGAAGTTCGCAAAACAACTATTTGTTTAAAATAATGGTTCTTTATTGAATATTATGAAAAATTTACTTACATAATCTCCACAACCCCATACTGATAATTACGATGTGCTCACTAGTTATTAGCTTCGTGAGGAAATTCTTGGAGTTCTATTGAGAAGCCGTGACCAGTGGAGCTAATCCATGTCGGGTAGAGACATATATCTACCTCAATACAATGGAAGATGGTCACGCAATTTCGTGGATTGTTTGAGGTTAGACATTAACACCGTTGGATGCCGACTCAGTGGTCTAGAGGTTAAGCGTTCGAGTGCGAGTCTGAAGACCCCGGGTTCGAATCTCGCTGGTGGGATCATGGATGCCCATTGCTGAGGAGTCCCACAATAGGACGAAACGGCCGTCCAGTTCTTCCAGGTTTTCAATGGTCGTCCAACACCAATCAGCCCATGATCTCAATCTAAAACACAAATTACTAAATATTTATCAGTAGTGTATTGTGGTACACAAAAATGAGCGAAATAGTAATAAATTTACGTAGTACAAACTGTACTTAATATTATTTCTTTGGCGTAATTTTTGTGAATTGGGTGAAGTTAGACACTAATACCGTTGGATGACGACTCAATGATCTAGATGTTAAACATTTGCGAGAGGGATCGTGGATGTGCACCGCCGAGGAGTCCCATACTAAGACGAAATGGCCGTCTAGTGCTTCCAAGTTTTCCATGGTGATCTAGCTTTAATTGACTCATGAATTCATCTATTAAATTATTTCTGCTAAATGAGTGAATAGAAATAAGTGGAAATGTCACTTTAATGCTGTCAAGATTAACATAAAACATGGTGAAGGTAAACAGAAAAGCGGTAAAGTAGATAAATTATAATGACGATAATGATAGAGAGTTATGATTATCTAAGTCAATATCCAAGGACTAAAAGATAATTGCTCACAAAATTCCTATTTAATAGATAGAGATTCTCTTCGACTGAAAGTTTCATAAAACTTAGCTTAACGAAATGGTACAACACAACTAGAATTTATAGTCAGTTCAACTTTGTCATTGACGTACTTTTAGAGATAACACTCTCCTCATCTAAATATACAGGGGTTGAACTTCTACCAGGAGGTTCACTTGTTGACTTAGAATATGCTGATGACATCGTTTTATTTGGTGAAGACACTGACAAAATGCAGAGTCTTCTGGCCACTCTAAGCAACAATGCAAGCATGTTCGGGATGCGATTCTCTCCCTCGAAATGCAAAATGTTGCTTCAGGATTGGGTTACATCGACACCCGAACTAGTGATAGGGAGTGAAGTAGTTGAGTGTGTCGACCGCTTCACTTATCTTGGAAGTCTCATCAGCCCTTGTGGTTTAGTGTGTGACGAAATCTCAGCACGGATACAGAAGGCTCGACTAGCTTTTGCCAACTTGCGTCATTTATGGCGTAGGCGAGATATCCGTCTATCAACCAAAGGACGTGTTTACTGCGCAGCAGTTCGTTCCGTCCTACTTTATGGGAGTGAAACATGGCCGGTAAGAGTAGAGGATATCCGTAGGTTACTAGTATTTGATCATAGGTGTCTTCGAAACATTGCTCATATATCATGGGACCATCGAGTAAGTAACACAGTTGTTAGGAAACGGGTACTAGGTAAGGATGGCAAATCAATTGATGAAGTAGTGAAACTTCATCAGTTGAGATGGCTGGGACATGTGTTACGTATGCCCAACGACCGACTGCCTCGACGTGCTATGTTCAGTGGTATAGGAGTAGGTTGGAAGAAAGCTAGGGGCGGCCAAACCAAAACATGGCACAAGTCCATGAAGTCACTGACAAGTGAACTGAGTCATGTTGGTAGGTGTAGACTACCTGGTTGGGGACCGCGAGATGACAGCAACCGATGGTTAGAGACCCTGAATGACATGGCTCAAAATCGTTTGCAATGGCGCAGGTGCATCCACTCTCTGTGTTCTCCCAAATTCTAATCTTCTGAATTCTTCATGTCCCTTTTTTTCCTCTTTCCAAATTTCTTTCACTGGATTATACTCTTTAAATAACATCTCCAAACCCTAATCTTCCCGATTACTGCTTATACTCTGATTACCTCTACCACTACGGGATTTGAATCGACAAGTGCATCTCTGTGCTAATGTGGTGTGGCAACTCGAACTGATGTACGTACGTACGAAGTTCTACGTTGTTACTGACTGACTGACTGACTGAGTCAGTATGACCTATTAGCATTGAATGATATCCAGTGTGAATGATTTCATAGTTCGCGTAATGCTAACTAGCGTTGAGGATAGTTAGAAAAAAGTTAGAGGAGCCCAAAACAAATCGTGGCATCAGTACTTAAAGTCACTAACTTCTAGTCTGAGCCATGTTGGTAGATGCAGACTACTTGGTTAGGGTCTACGTGACTATCGTAACCAATGGCTGGAGACTGTGGGTGACATGGCTCAGAATCGATCACAATGGCGTCGGTGTGTACATTCTCTGTCTTCCCTTAAACTAAGAGATTAAAATCGCTTCGTATCTCTCTTTCTACGAACTAATAATTTCTTCCTGTACTGTGCCCTTATACACAATCTTTCTTCGGTATATTACTACTATTGAAGTAACTCCTTCTGTGAATTTGGTGTTCATCTTGTTGTGATAATGAGGTGTGGCAACTTGTACCGATGCATATATGTGCATGGTACTACTTTGTAGCTGATTAACTGACTGACTCTCCCTTTAAAATAATGTGGCATTCTTTCATGACACTTACCAAAACGTTATTTGTTCAATTAGAGGTGAAAGTAATGATTGGCAAGACTTTCTCGTAGTTAAGAAACATGGAAAATGCAATATATTCGGGGCTCAGAGATGATATCTTTATACAATATCTCTTAATGTTTTCCACTAGTGAATTTTGATGATTCATGAACTACAAGTGGTAAACTGACAATCGTTTTCATACCACAAAATGTCTACTAACAGTTAGAGAATTGATAATTTGATGCCTTGCTAAGTCATATTATTTATGTAAGCATATAAACATTTGTTATAACACTCGGTTTTTCCCGTCTACACTATCGGGACTCTAATTTATCTTAGACGAATATCTACTCTAGATTCCCTCCAAGTGTCTATTCTACAGGACGTCAACACAACTCAGATCATGAGCACGTGGTTAGCCTGACTAGAACGTAAATATATTTCCTCAACAAAACCCGGCACAATTCAACAACAATGAACAATCAATAATAATAAGTAATAAGGATAGGGAAATATATAACTCATTTAACACCTGACAGATTATCTGCATGTCTGACTAAACAAACAAGCAATCACTATCATCCTCGCACACACATCAATATTGGTACAAGGAAGCACCAAATATAAGTGCTCACAATTCATCATCCGATCTGCTTGTGGGGTTAAATACTGTCCGGGTGACCAAACCGAAGCAGATGGTTTTCTTAGAGGGAGACATAACCGGAGCCTTCAACCTAAAGGTCTGATCCACAAGACAGTGGGGCGACGTCAGGAGATGCAGTTCCATGGTAGCTGATGATCAGCGATTGGTTCATACGCCAATTGTTCCCTCAGGATGTGCAACATTTGTTTAGAATGTGGGTTTTCCAACTCCCCTAGATGGTTATTTATACACATAGTTCCCCTAGACGGATCCTCCATATCCACCGATCCAGCTAAAGCTTTATACACTCGCGTTTCATCTTCTCATTTTCATAATCAACACCCCTACCGTGAGAAGGCAGTGAGTAGGACTTCCATGGTAGTGGCTATATACGTGTAGCTATGTGAGAGCATTTAGAGGGGGAGAGTAGGCTTTCCTCACTCTCGACAGTACCAGGGAATTCGGGCGCTTGTTATTTCGAAGAGTTCATTTATTAGAACATGTAGTTGTTCGAAATTAGTACCACAACTTTACTGTTTCAGTTTATTTAAGGTTCCTATCTTGTTAACTAATCAGTGTTGTATATGATTAGTACTAGCATTTATCAGCAGTAGGTAGTTTCAACACTTCTGATCAATAGTTCTGAAATATGTGTCATAGAATAATTGTATTCTGTTACATCATTTGTCTCTAGCAGTCATATCCTTTAGCCGTGTTTGATAACAGTGTTTACAGTAAACTTAGATTTTAATATAAATCTAGATAATTATTGTGTATTTGATGGAAAACAGTAAATAACTGGAGAAGCTTTATTCAAGTCAACTGGATGTTCTGTATCAATCAAGTGAGAATGAAGAGAACTTTTAATTGGGTTTAAATGTACTTTCCTCAACTAAGCAGTATGTTATCCGCAGATGTGTTGACAGATTTTTCTAATTCTGCTCTTTATATAACTGGCTTCACAAGAGCAGTGAACTTGATAGTTACACTTACATTTGACCAATACATTTGTTTATGGTTGTAATGATTGGACGAGTTTATGATACTCCATGCAGTTGGGTTGTAGTGAACGTTTTCTGTAATCGATTTCCCAACTCCTGTCCTCATATTTCTTGACATATGCCGTTTTTAAACTGTAGTTTTAATAGTAGAGAATTCTTCTAAACATTCACTATCATCAGTCTTATGTCTATTCAGTTTGATTGTTTTTCGATGATTTTTTTATCTACTGGGCTTGGTTAGATGGAAACAAGCCTGAGGAACTCTGGGATACAGGTACATCCAACTGACGAGTCCAAAATGGGACGAAACGCGTGTTCAACTGGTTTCCACTGCTAACCACCATTCAACATTATTTATAAAGCTTAGGACTTGAGGTAATATCGTGGCAGTTCTCACAGGATGTACATATACCAATAAGAGACTGATCAATTACAATCCTAAACAACAGTGGGAAGATATAAGCAAACAATACCTGGGGAACTCAGTAGTTATCTCATTTATTTCAACTACCTGTAAATCTTATAAATTTATATTTAAGTAAATTTTATATATCATTTCAGAGAAAGAAATTACCCCTAATTATTATGATGCCCATAATGAACTTGATCATTTATTGATTAAAAATACTGATATAAAAATCGATGAAATTTCCAAATCATTTACACCATCTATTCAAAACGATAAAATATCAATGATAACAACAACAACGACAAATGAGATAAGTATTTGTAAAAGTGTAAGTTTTCAATTTATTGATTCCTTTTCTCTTTCTTTTCAGTAGTTTTTTTTCACCTGTTACCCTCCCCCCCCTCAGATGGAGCACAGGTTGCCGACCAGCATTCTCCAATTCACTCTGTCCTAAGCCTTCCTTTTAAGTTCTATCCATATGTTGTTCATTATTCAGCAACTCTGCTTCTTAGGCTCAAAATAGGTTTATGAATCAGTCTGAGAAATTAAAACTAGGATCTAGGACTAGAAGTTAAAGTCAGTAATTATACTTACGGTTTTCATTACAAGTTGATATCAGCTGTATAATCCAAGAGTTCTTTATAGCCACGTGGGTGAATGAAAGTCAAGATACTTCATTAGCGATTAGTACTCTGTCTTTTGTCGATATATCCAGATTTTATATTCGAACTGCGAGTAATGGTCCTAATCTATGACTGTAGATCTTGAGTAACATGGTCAGGGTTTGATATTGGTAATAGTGCATATTAATTTACTCCCTACCTCCCCTTAAATCTTGAGTCCACACTTTATAACTCAATCTCACTCGTCCCTTTTGAACTATATCACTTATGTTTAGTTTCCACTTAAGTAAGGATCAATATCTCACATTCTCTGCTCTTCATCTTTTTAATTTCCGCTGTCTATCGTTGTGTTAATGTTCATTGTTGTACCGTTGACCCATACAGATTTGTCCCGAATTCTACATAAATAGTGGGTGATTACTTACCTACGCCTGTTATTGCTAGTGGAGCATAGGTTGCCGATCAGCATTCTCTGACGTAATTTGTCCTGGGCATTCTTTTCTAGTTCTATCCAATTGTTGTTCATTCTTCTCATATCTGCCTCCACTTTGTCGGCGTAATGTATTCTTTGGTCTTCCACTTCTCGTTTGGCCTTGAGGATTCCAAATTAAGGCTTGCTTTGTGAGATAGTTGGGTGCTTTCCTCAATGTGTGTCCTATCCACTTGCAGAGCTTCTCCCTGATTTCTTCCTCCACTGGATCTTGTTTGTTCTTTCCTGCAGTAGATTGTTGCTGATCGTGTCTGGCCAACGGATCCGAAGTAGACAACTATTAATAAACACTTGTATCTTCTGTATGATGGCTTTCGTGGATCTCTAAGCTTTCTGCGTAGTTATTTATGGGTATAATAAAATAGTTAACTTGTTGAGACTATATAGAGCTGAAGGTCTCATATGAGGCTGGAGGTTCGCCATTGATATTGTGGACGGCTCGGCATTGCTTTGGCAAGTTTTGCTGACTGTTCATGCGAAAAATTGGTTTGCTGGTTAACCGATTTCATTCATACTGGTGGTTGCTTTCCAGTGTTCCCGAGTGCCATTGTCATTGGGACATCGTAAGGCATGCCGCCATTGCCAACATTAACGAGTTTGACTGTCGTGTAAACGGAATAGGTCAACTTTGACCTGTTCGTGCTGTGCATAATTGATTCACACGATCATTGATCGGAATAACTATACACGTGGTGTAAGTGTGTATATGAATGGTGCGAATGGTCAACCAGGGTACTTGGTACCTGTGTGGATGCGCCACAGGATTGAGCTGTACTATTCAGATTGTAGCTTTAAAGCCTGTACGGTGTCTTGTTCCCCTGCTAAACGGGGTTGAGCTGTACTGTTAGGGTTTTTACGTGAAGGTCTGGATGGTGTCTGGTTCTCCTGAAAACCAATGTAAAATTACCCTGGCCTACATGGGTATATTATATAACTGTGAACTTATATAACGTTGAGACTATAATTAATCGACAACTTTCGAGAGATGCTAAAGTAACCCTAAGAATATTCACCTATTATCTAGGACTAAATGACAATTATAAATCAGTGCGAACAATTAGAATTTTTGATTTACAGTTAATCGTTACGGTTGGGAACTAGATTTAGTGTTTTCATCACAAACTAAGATTAGCTAAAATATCAAGATGCTATTCAGCTAAATGAATGAATGAATTTTGCGCCAAACATTCAAGACTTGTTATCTTATATCTAATTGGTTTGTTCATAAATTATAGTCTTGACTCTTATTCATTCACTTACAAATCACCCTTCGTTAATGTTGTATTATGATTTGTTTAAACCACTTATTATCCTGTCTTCATTAATTGCATTCGAATTTATTGTACGAATACTTCTCTTTAAAGAATTGCTTCATTATAAGTAGCATACATTCAGAAAGATTTCTGAAAATAGTTAGTTAAATGGACTAATTGCTTCTTTTGTCGATATAACATTTGACTAGTTGTTAGCTGTCATATCTAGAGCTTAGATTCTTAATGTACTGCGTATGACTTCAGCACTCGAACGATAGAACCCTCCTTAGTTACAAATGAGAAGAGAGAAGATTTTTGAAAGGAATGCTATTCTAAAACAGTATCAATTATAGTACAAAACAGTCAGGTATTTATAGTTTTTAATAAAAATGAAATCATCATCATTGTCATCCAATCCGCATAAAGAGGATTTTTAGCATTTATCCAATAGTGTAGCTCGGCATAGGGGTTCTAGAATATTCTTCCAAACGATGATTGAATGGAATATCTTCGGTTCATTCTGAGCTTCTTAGGGCTTCCTTGAGTTCATTCAGGGACTGTCCTCACATTAGCATTAATTATATTGTATTGTATTACTTCTAATGTGAACAGATATAAGTAGTATATAATAGGAATAGGAAATGGAATGCTTACCAGCAATAGATTGATATGAAGAGAACAAGTAAGAAAACGGAGAGAAATTGGAATAACAATAGAATCAAAAGAATGATACATTATGTAAAGGACAACTGAATTTCTAACCTTAATCATCAACTATAAATCATAATTCTAATTCCTTACCCTAGTTTATAAACCTTATTTGGTCCTAGTTACTACGTGGACACTCTCAAGGTTAGTTTACTGTCGCTCAAAGGTCGTTCATATATTTTAATCTCACTAAAGTAGTTTCAAGCAACCTTGAATGCTAACAGATTAGTTTCAACATCACGATGTTCACCATAATTATTTATCTAGAAGAGAAAACGTATTCTTATACGCCATGATGATATTCATTATGTGCTGTTGTCATGGCTATGAAGTGGTTCATTTCATACAATCAAGATTCATCTAACATTCACTTCGATTGAGATAGATTTTAAATGTTATAATTGTTTCATTATAATTCTATCCATTTCTATCTTATTGTTTCTTTAAAGACTCAGAATGATATGTTAACTACTGAATGTAAATGGTTATCTGATAATATGAATATAAAATTATCTAACGTTTATCCTACAATCTTCTCTAATGGAATACAATTAGTTACTCAATATACTACTCATAATTCACCATATATACATTATGCTGCTTCTAAAATCAATTCAAATAATCTACCTGAATATATACCTTCACAATATAGCAATTTATCTATGACTGAATATTATTCTAATCATGTAATACGTAAGTTGAATAAAACGATTTAATTTAACATGAATTGAAAATTGTGCTTATTATTTTTCCTCAATATAAACTCTATTTTATGTACACATATATGAAAATATATGAATTTAAGTGTTTTTAAGACCTACATTTTAACAGTATAAGGTTGTGGAGATTGTTGAGTTTAGATTGATATCATGAATGAATCAATGAGTATCACCACCAAATGCCCTGGTATGGCCAAGGGTGGGGAGAGTCCGCTCTCCCTCACGAAATGCTCTCACATGACCAGGCGTATATAGCCACTGACAGGGAAGTCATACTCACTGTCTTTTCGTGGCGGGGGTGTCAGTTATTCAATGGAGAAGACGAAAAGCGAGTGTCCAGCGCTTTAACCGGGTTTGTGGACATGGAGGGTCCACCTAGGAGAGTTCAGTCAGTTACAACATAGGACCAGGCACATATATGCATCGGTATAAGTTGCTACACCTCACTCATTAGCACAACAAGATGAATACCGAATTCATAGAAGTAATTAATTCAGTGGTGGTAATATGTAAAAAGAAAAGGTTGCATATAAGGATATAGTACAGGAAGAAAGAATTAGTTCGTAGAAAGATATAAGGTGATTTTGATCTCATAATTTAAAGGAAGACAGAGAGTATATACACCTACGCTATTGTGACCGATTCTGAGCCATGTCACCATTCGTTACACGTGGTCGAGTTGGAAAATCCTTATTTCAAATCAGCGATGCACATGGAAACCAGGATCCTGAGGGAACCAATGGCGTATGAATGAATTGTTGGTTACCGGCTACCATGTGACTGTATCTCCTTGTGTTGCTCCACTGCAATGTGGATTAGATCTTTAGGTCCCATAAGAAAACCACATGCTTAGGTTTGGGCACCCGGGCAGTATCCCAGCTCTAACATAAGTCGTATGGTTTATGTGACGCGTATCTATTTGGTGCCTCCTTGTACCAATGTTTATGTGTCTAAATAAATAATCAATAAAGTAGAGACCATAGAAATCAAATGTTTCTGATTAGTAAGTATTCCGATTGTCAAAATTGACGTAGTGTGACTACTATAAGTGATGTGATCTATAATTGATTTCACTAGTACAGGCGTGTTCATCAGTTAATCTTTTGTTTAATTTTTACTACCCAACTATTTGATTTATTTTATATTTTCATATACAATTTTCTGTTTCTCCTCACCCCACCCCCACATTTTCTTCTTTTTTCTCATCCTTATTTCTGTCTTTATGAGGTAGGCTAATTGATATGGTAACTAACTCACTAGGTCCTATGTTGTTTATAATGTCTATTTTCTGAACAGGATCTATATATTTAAGCAAAGACGGATAGTGGCTAGCAGTGGAATACGGGACGTGCTATCCATCTTTGCTTAAAATGCTTGTGACTTAAGGCATTATCGAGGCAATCCGCACAGGATGCACATATGCCAATAAGAGACTGATTAATTGCAGTCCTAAATAACAATGGGAAGATACAAGTAAAACAACACTAAGTGAATAGAAGCTGAATATTAATTTAGAAAACGTGTAATGAATCAGTACTACCTGACACTGTCTTGGCTCAACCATTCAAAGAGAAATGTCATTACGAACCTCAAGTAGTTTGGATGTCAAGAAAAAATGTAAACAATTGATTTATAGAGTAAAGAATGGTAACAAAACAGGATTATCATTGTGTTGTATGTGGCTGAGACCCAAATTTTTATTAGTTCGGTTATACTACTTTTTGATCACTACTAGTAAAATTACTAAAAAATATGTATCAGAAGGGGTTTTGTGGAGATTTTAGTAATTTCATTAGTTGAAATCATGCGTCAATTGAAGCAAGACCACCATGGAACACCTGAAAGCACTAAACGACCGTTTCGTCCCAGTATGAGACCCCTCAGCAGTGTGCATCGACGATCCCACCCCGCGAGGTTTGAACCCAAGGCCTATCAGTTTCGTGCGCGAGACTCCAGGTTTTCCATGGTGGTCTTGCTTCAATTGACTCATGATCCCAATTATTGAAATAAATAATAGCAAATTTTTTACAATGTATACTAATCCATTGTTTCATCAAGTTTAACTCTACTAAATTTATTTCAAAGCTTTTTTCATATTGTTTTTATTAAAATCTTGACTGTTATTAGGCTGAGCTAATGTAGCTTTTCTGAAATGTTGTGAGTTGCTATTTCTGTGTAGTGCTTCTATGGATCCGGTGTTCATCTTTTTGTGCTAATGAGATATGAGAATTTGATCCGATGCATATAGGTGCCTGGTACTATGTTGTAGCTGACTCACTGATTGACTGTGTACTATAAACGAGACATAAACTGAAATATATAAGTAGATTGAGTCAATATCATGTCATATATAGCTCTTTGTTTGATTTATTCTAATATTCATGCAATAGTTCTGTAGGCAATATTTCGATTAACTCTTGTTAATTTCACTTAGAAACAGATAGAAATAATCTTTGACAGATTTTTTCTCATGTATGACAAAAAAAATTGAAAACCGTTTGTTTATATTGAACAACTACTCAATTCCATAATGAGTAGTTTCTTACCATTGTCTGTTAGATTTCAATTATGTTTACTTTCAAATGAGGCTGTGTATATTTCTACATCATATTTAAATGCTTAATTTCATGATAGAAAGAATCTTCCCTTATACGTTGTGTTTTTTTCTTCTTCAGAAAACATACCAACCTGTGTCACTGTATTCAGTCAGACCGACACAACTTCAATGAAACAAGAACATTGTCTTTCATTAAGTTCTGTTGAAAATAAAGTTCCCCGAAATAAATTTAATGAAACTGAGATAGTCAGTAGAGAAAACCACGGTATACATAGAATGTTCCATATACCTAAGACTTCTACGGTAAGTTAAAAATGAAAATAAGTGATCTTTATTTATTAATAATGTTTTACAAAGTATTCGTTGGTTGATTATATCCTTTCACTATTCTAGGATCTCGCTTTTTCCTCCATGAATGTTAAGATCTATATCCTGTGGTCAGGTATTTTCCTTGGAAGTTCTCTACGATAAATTGCACTCTCTCTTTGTTACTGTCATTGGTGGGTGAGTAGTAATTAATAACATTCAGTACGATGGCTACCTTCTTTTATTTTTAAGGATGCTTTATTGATCCCGAAGCTACAAGATTCTCATTCGTTAAGAATATTTTGCATTTCTTTGGAAAGTATCCATGCAAACTTTTCTGTACTTTGTGACCAGAGTACAGCATCAACTCTAATCTTTTTTGTTCATTTTGTATCTTGTGGGTTTCGTTTACTGGCCTCCAATGCTATTCAAATGATCCTTCCGGCCTCGTAACCTGTCCAGACACTCACTGTACCTAAATAATTTGTTGCTTTAGTCGTTAAAAGGGACAACTGTCTTGTTATACAGAAGAATCTCGGCTTTCATCATGGGATGCCATAACTCTTCTACTTAAATATCGTTCAACTCTAAGGACTGATTTTAAATTATTTAAATAAATTTTTATGGTTTACGTCTTTTTAGCAGAGCTATTTTTTATGGGGTCGAGTTGGTAACCCCCATACTCAACCCTCCTTTCCTGGGTTCGAGATCGGGAATAACCTTAGAATGGCTCCGGTGGAAGTTTCAGTATATCTTAAAAATACCTTTTCATAATCAAAAATAATTTTATCTTTGTGTGTAATACTTGTATTTCAGAGACAAACGATTGATTTATCTTCTTTGAATGTGAATAAACAGAGCAAAGATTTATCTTCAATATACCACCATCATCATATTAGATCAACTGTTGCATCATCATGTAATACAGGAATTACTACTTGTCCATTATTAACTCAAAATATGAAACTTCCACATAATGAAAATAACAAGCTAAATGAACATTTAACATGTAAACATTATTTATCTAAAGATGATTTTGAATCAAATTCAATTATATTAAGTCCTATCTGTACTAGTCAACCAATAACAGATTATAATGATCGAATAGTTCCAAATGATGTTAATGTATACAAAGTGAAATGTATTCCTACACATTCATGTAATCGTTCAAAAGACAATGTTAAGAAGTTCGATACTAAATTAGGTAAGATCTCCAGCTTCATCATATTCTGAGATATGATTGATATATGAACATTAATTATTCATTTTTTTTGGCAAGACTTTAATTTATGGACGAGCTAATCAGAAGCGTTAGAGATATTTCAAGGTCACGGCGCCAACTTCAGTGCTTAGTGCTGACGTACGATCGGTTCACAGGGAATTTTGTACAAAACGTGATAATTGAGCGGCTATAACAAATAAAACGGCAAGACTATAATTTGTGGACGAATCAATCAGGTATAAGATAGCAGATCTCGGATTTTCGCGCGAAAGCCTTTCATCCATTTGACTAAATAGATTTTTGGCATTATAGCTTATGTCAATTCGTGATAAAAACTCCATATATAATTCCTAACTTAGGCAAATTATGACAATTATCGCGAAAAAAGCACCAGTAACACTGGCTGCAGCCAGGTACTACAATATGTACGGATAATTGGAGAGCGTACAGACTCCTACATAGGCTTGGTTATGTACATCGTGTCGTGGTCCACAAGTGGCATTTTGGGTACTCAACAACCGGAGTGTACACGAACAATATTGAAGCTATGTGGTCGAGGTTGAAAAAGTTTTTGCGACATTATCATGACTCCAGAGGCCGACTATTCTGTAGCCATGTGTACGATTTCCTCTACTTCATGCATTACGATTTTAGAACCTCTGAACCTCTTTCTAACATTGACAAGTTTTGGAACCATGTATAAGAAGTGTATCCAGTTTATTTCTTTAGTTTTGTATAATATATTTTTACTCTATACTTACTGTTTGCTCATTGGCTAGTATTTATCAAGGTCACTTAAGATTCCACTGGTTGAAATCATGAGCCAATTGAAGCTAGACCACTATGGAAAACCTGTAAGCACTGGACGGCCGTTTCGTCCTAGTATGGGACTCCTCAGCAGTGCGCAACCACGACCTCGCCCCCTGCGAGACTCGAAACCAGGACCTACTGGTTTCGCGTGCGAGCACTTAACCGCTAGGCCACTGAGCCGGCATCCAACGGTGTTCGCTCGCGCGCGAAACCAGTAGGTCCTGGTTTCCAGGATTCCATGTGAGGGCTTGCCTCAATGTGTGTCCTATCCACTTCTAGTACGTCTTCCTGATTTTTTCCTCCACTGGAATCTGGTTTGTTCTTTTCCATAGTAGGTTGCTGCTGATAGTGTCTGGATAACGGATCCGAAGTATTTTGCGTAGGCAATTGTTAATAAACACTTGTAACAATTCCACTCGGAGTTATGTAGTACATAAAGGGAATGATAATGAAAACACATAACTATGAAGAGTAAAACAAAACAAAATTGATATTGATGTAATTTAAACTATTCCATTGTTTTTAATCTATCCATTTTCAGTTCAGACCACAGATTTTAACGATCAAAATGAGTGTACATGTTATCACACTTATAGAATTCAACCAGGAATAAAAGAGTCGACTTTAAATCCTGAATGGATTGAACAACTACTTACCTATAATACAAAACTTGACAACAATCAGAAATCTTCTCAAGAATATAAGAAACATGAAATTACACAATCTGTTTATATGACACCAAGATCAACTCTTATAGCTCAATTGAGATATATATTATTAAAGCAAAAACTTAAATTATTACATACACGAGATGCTTATTATTTAAGAAAGCGTATTGTAAATCATCTTGAAAAGTTTTTAGATCAAATAGTTTCATCAAATACATTAGTAAGTGAAAAGTTAAATATATAAATGTTATTGTCTATGTTTATTTGTAATGTTATATTATAGGATATACCTTTTTGGGTCAGGGTAATTTTATATTGGTTTTCAGGAGAACCTAGATACCATCCAGACTTTCACGTGATAACCCAAATAGTACAACTCAATCCCGTTTAACAGGAGAGCCAGACACCAGCCAGGTTTAAACTTTATAACCCAAACAGTACAGCTCAATCTCTCGTCCCCAAATGCCCTGGTACGGCCGAGCGTGAGGAAAGTCCGCTTTCCCTTTCAAAATTCTTTCACATGGCCACACGTATATAGCATCTGCCAGGGAAATCCTACTCACTGCATTCTCGTGCGCGGGGGTGTTGTTTATGAAATTCAGAGGACGAAAAGCGAATGTCCGGCGCTTTAACCTGATTCCAAACCAATGGTGCACATGGGCTCCAGTATCCCGAAGGAACAAATGGAGTATGAACTAATCGTTGATTACCGGCTATTATGGAGCTGCATCTCCTAACGTTGCTCCACTGCCTTGTAGATCAGACATTTAGGTTGAAGTCTCCGGGTGTGGTCCCCTAAGAAAACTACCTGTTTCGGTTTGGGCACCCAGGCAGTATCCCAGCCCTAACATAAATCGAGTGGTTTATGTGGCGCATATGTATCTGCTGCCCCTTGTACCAATATTTATGTGTTCAAATAATAATAATAATAATAATACAGCTCAATCTCGCTTCACGGGAGAACCAGACACTATGTAGGCTTTAACACTACAATCTGAATAGTACAGCTCAATCCTGTGGCGAAACCATACAGGTATCGAGTAACCTACTGGACCATTCGCACCATTCATATACACATCCATGTCACATGTATAATTATTTCGATCATTGATTCAGTAGATCACTTATGCACATCACGAACAGGTCAAAAGTTGACCTATTCCGTTTACATGACAGTCAAACTCATTAATGTTGGCAATGGCGACATGTCTTACAATGTTCCAATGACAATGGCGATTGAAAACCCTGAAAAGCAACCACCAGTATGAATGAATTCGGTTAACCAGCACACCAGGGTATGAAATTTGACAATTTACTTGTCTTCATAAGTTTAATATTTTAAAGGAAAGCGAATTTATTAGTATAGGATTATGAAGATTGTTGAGTTTTTAATTGAAATCATGAAAGGATCAATGTTAGACCACTATTGGAAACTTGAAAGCATTGAATGGCTATTTCATTCTAGTATCGAACTCCTCAGCAGTACGCATCTACGATCTCACCCCGTGAGATCATTCATTGTTCAATACTTCTCGGTATAAACAGGTGATTTATAATTGTTCTTTATTACTTTTTTTGTCATTTTATTTCACCGCTATTGAAAACACATTTCATCTGTAGAATATTGTTTGTCTGACGTTTCGTGACTTAATGTAAGCTACTTCTTCAGAGTCGATAAACAACCAAATTAAATAAATACATATTTAAATAGTACAAAGAAAACATTTATATTGTTGTTTCTAATTACTAACCAGTTTATTCCCGTGGATAAGTAACCCTGATTACTTTTCATGAATGAGGTAACATATTTCTCATAAGTTGTTTAAAATGTTTTGAAAAATCAATAGTTTTACAATTCAACATTTAAGGGGAACTTAATCCTTCGTTTTATGTTAATGGTAACTTTATATTTCTGTGGCCTAAATTATTTTCTATGATCAAAACAACAAAGACATATGATCACAAGTGACTAGCTTCAAGAGGTATTTTCTGGAGTTCTAGTGAGAAGCATTGACAAGTAGAGTTCAACCGGGTCCGTTGTGAGATAGTAACTCACTGAAGGCAATGATAGATGTGTCGCTCAACCTCGTCGATTAGTTGAAGTTTGATATTAACATAGTTGGATGCCGGTCATCTCAGTGATCTATAGGTTAAGCGTCCGATAAATCCTAGGTTTGAATCCCGCGACTTTGGATCGTGGATACACACTGTTGAGGAGTATTAGTCCCACAACCGGACCAAACGGCTATCCAATGCTTTCAAGTTTTCCATGATAGTCTAGCATCAATTGACTCATGAACTCAATAATTCACATTTAGTTTACATATCAGTTTTTCTCGCTCAATGTTATATCAGTTTTTATGTAGTATATTATACTCATCGTTATAGCAGAATTTGTATTTTGGTAATCATATTAACTGAATCATTCAACGACTACATAGTTGTACTTCCCGTTTATAATGTGTTCCTATGATTTTTTATTGTTTTAGCCTTTATCAAATTCTGTACCGGATGATTGGGATACAGATACTGAGTCTTTATTATCGGATTTATTTGAAAAAGATAACGATCCTATATCGAATGAGTTAAATACTGGAAATAGTCCAAAATTAAAACCATCAACACAACAGTGTAACTTATTAACTGATGAACATGGAGAAAATGAACAAATCAATAAGAAAATGTCAAACAAAAGATCATCGTCTTCATATGATAGAGAAATATGTAATAGAAATGCTCACTTTGAGGAAGCTCAAAAAGATGTTCAACAGGCTGACAACACAAGTAAATAGAACATTTTCATATTAAAGTACCTTACTGCGTTTTATTATTTGTCTGTTTATTTATTTATTTAAACACATAAACATTGGAACAAGGAGGTACCAAATAGATATGCGCGACATAAATCATTTGACTTGTATGAGGGCTAGGATACTGCCTGGCTGCCCAAACCAAAACAAGTGGTTCTCTTAGGGGGCCATATCCCATGCCTTTGACCTAAAAGTTTGATTCATAAGGCAGTGGAGCCATGTTAGGAGATGCAGTCTCATGGTAGTCGGTGACCAACAATTGGTTCATATGCCATTTGTTCAATCAGGATCCTGGAGCCCATGTACACCATTGGTTTGGAATGATGGTTTTCCAATTCCTCTAGGTGGATCTTTTGAGCCTAACAACCCAGTTAAGGCGCCGAACATTCGCTTTGCATCCTCTCAATTTTGTAAACAACAGTAATGTCAAGAGAATGCAGTGAGTAGGACTTCCCTGTCAGTGATTATAAGCACGTGGCCATGTGAGACTATTTCGAGATGGAGAGCTAATTCTCCTTACTCTCAGCCGTATCAGAGCATTTAGGGGCTATTACTTGTCTGGTATATGTCGTTACTGTAAATTTATTTCGAAGGGATATTAGTAAATCATTGAATATTTACAACTAGAGTTGATTGATGAATAAACAATTCACGGAAAATCAACTAAGGAATTCGTATTATCTGTTTAGTATGTCAATGATTTTGTTGATGGCTACTATATTTTATTGCTTGTCAAAAATATATACCGACAACAATGTGAAGATCAAGATCTTTTGGAATCTAAATTAATATTTTGAAAATTTAACAACAAAATAATTATGATTATGGGAGTTGTGAAGATTGTTGCATTTTAATTGAGATCATGAACTGATCAATGTCAGACCACGATTGAAAATCTAGGAGCATTAGATGACCGTTTCGTTCTAGGAGTCCCATACTAGTTCGGTGTGTATGCTACTGTTGTCAACGGATATAAGTATTGTGGTGTGGGTTACTTATATTGACATAAGTAGTATATAACGCTAGTCAGGAATGTAATGTTTGGCAGCAGAAGATTGAGAAGATGAAGAAGAAAAGTACGGGAACGGAACACAATTGGTATGAAAATGCATGAACAATGAAATCCGAAACAATGGACTGATATTTGCAAAGGAACAGTCAAATTTGAGACGGTGGATTGACATTTTGCAAGTGAAGTATTTACTGTATGGATGTCAGATTTTACTGAGATGTTCTGTAATTTATGTGTTCAAATACATTCATCTGTCCTCATTCGTTTACTACAGCACGACCAACAGTTGTTATGTTGTGATCTAATGTCCATCTAACTCCTCTGTTGGACAGGATAGTCAGTATGCCAGCTAACATGAGTTGGAATTTAGGATACGATAAAAAGTTATACAAATTGTTTAATTAAATAGATTGCATAGTTTCAATTTTTCACTAACAGTTTTTTTCTTAAATCATCTTACAAACACTACTACATTTATAATCGGTTCTATTGCTTTGATGGCCTCAAAATACCCTGGTATGACCGAGAATGTGGAGAGTCACCTCTCCCTATATAACTTTGTGTTCAACTACATTCGATTTTCCCCATTTGTGTTCTTATTCACTACACTAGGACAAAACTTCTATCCTGTACTTCCAGGTTTTTAATGGGGGTTTGATATTGGTCGATTCATGATCTCAATTAAAACAAAATAATCATTTGTTAGATAGTTAGGAATAAGGGACTGAAAAGTACAGAACTGTGATAGTTATTCTTTGTTGAATTAATTTGTATATTTTTTAGAAATATTCATCAAAACCAACTGTCCTATGAAACTTTCACAAAATTCCAATTATAAACTCTGTTTTTTTATAATTTTTATGGGTTACTACCTATTGGTAATAGTACGAGTTCCTAAAACTAGCGCTGTTGGTATTTGCTTACAATGTTTATCATGTCCACTTAGCTACTGAGTCCTGATAGCCACGATGACGTTTGAATCGGACAGTACCGAGTTTGAGTCCCAGAGTGAACATCAACTCTGAGATGTAGGTACATCTAACTGACGAGTGCCAAATAGGTCGAAACCCGCGTCAGACTGGATTCCACTACTAACCACTATCCATCTTTGCTTAGAATGCTTGTGAATGAAGGCAATATCGAGGCAATCTGCACAGGATGCATTTATTCCAATAAAAGACTGATCAATTACAGTCTTAATCATCAATGAGAAGATCCGAGTAAAACAATACCAAATGAATTTATCTATTATAATAGCATAAAAAGTTACCTGTTATTTTAATTTCAATAGTTAAGATCATGAGTCAACTGGAGCTATTACGTCATGGGAAACTTGGATGTACTGGATGGCAGTTTCGTCCTATTTCGGGATCCCTCAGCAATGCGCATCCACGACCCCACCCCACGGGACTCGAACCCAAGACCTAACAGTCTCGTGCGCAGGCGCTTATCCTCTAGACCACTGAGATGACCGGCATCCAGTGATGTTAATGTCTAACTCCAACTAATACACGAAATTGAGCGACACATCTATCATTGCCTTCAGTGAGTTACTATCTCACAACGGGCCCAGTTTAACTCCATTGGTCATTGCTTCTCACTAGAACTCCAAAAAATACCTCTTGAAGCTAGTCACTAGTGAGCATATGTTGATTAGTATCAGAAATGGGATTTTGTGGAGATTGTAGTAATTTCAATAGTTGTGATGATAAGTCAATTGATCGATTAATATTTCAATTGTAGATAAGATTGAATGTAAAGATAATGATAAACAGTTCACTGATATTAAAAAACAAGCAGAGAATCAATTAAGTAAAATGGTTATGAATGTACATGTCAATCAACCTTCATCTTTATCAATATGTAAGAATTTGAACGAAACTTTATCAAGGTTCATTCATCGTGATCATCATGTTGAAGGTGAAAAATCATTCAAAGATCATTGTTCATTAAATACAAACATTCGATTATATCCATCCTCAGACGATATAGTGAATGGCGTATGTGCAGCATTAGGTAAGTTGTTTTACTGTTTAATGTATTTGTTACGTCCTTGATCTGTCTACCCACTTTTGTGCTGAGGATAACTTGTCTAATCTAGAGACTAACAGTTTAACCCCATAGGCTGACTAGCTTAAACTTGAGGTCAGTATGCGTGAGTTCGAATTGGGATAAAGAGAAGAAAACTATTCTATCACCTGATTGGCTGACAAGCATGTGAGTGAAAGAAGATAAGTCAACTAGAACACTACTCGATGTATTCTCAATTCCGATCTGATTTCCCGATTTCCCGATATCAGATCAGTGTAAAAAGATACATGAATAAATAGATGATTAACCCACCACAATGTACAACACTGGGGATTAGCATAGAAAATGAAGTACAAACTAATACGTTTAAATTACAATAGCTTTAAAACAAAAAGGGTTATAGCAGTGAATCATACATCAAACGAAAGCTTATGATCTGTAGAATAGATTAGGGACAAAAATAAATGTCAGTGTTTTACAAGCTTTGAATTAAATGAAATAACGTCCCGAAAAGTAGTTTTCGTAGTTTGTCAAGGTTTCTTGTTTTTCTGTTCACATCAGTATTCAAAGAATATAAAAGTTTATTATGACGTTTTAATATCAGTGTAGGTATTTGTGTTATCACGAAATGATCAATATGTGTATAACAGGGATATAGTATTAAATAGACAAATGTTAAAACAGAAAAAAGAATAAAGAATGATAGTGTAAATATAAATTCAAGCTAGATCACCCTGGAAAACCTGAAAGCAATGAACAGCCTTTTTTGTCCTATTACAGCACTCCTCATCAGTGCGTATCGAGTGATCTAAAGATTAAATATTCGCATGCGATACCGAAGGTTTTGGGTTCGAATCCCTCGTGCGGGATCATGAATGCGTACTGCTGAGAAGTTCGATATTAGGATGAAATGGTCGTCCAGTGCTTTCAGAAATGAAATCATATTAACCGTTAAATAAACTGAATAATAATATAACATAAGTAATAGCATATCATCTTAATGTATTCAACAATTCAACAGTTTAAAAAAACAAAAACAAAATAATTAGAGAATTATTAAATCAACCCCAAATGCCCTGGTACGGCCGAGATTGGGGAGAGTTCGCTCTCCCTCTCGAAATACTCTCACATGGCCACGCGTAATAGCCTCTGCCGGGAAGTCCTACTCATTGCATTCTCGTGGCAATGGTATTGTTTACAAAATTGAGAGGACGAAAAGCGAATATCTGACGCTGTCACCGGGTTGGTGAGTATGGAGGATTCACATAGGAGAGTTGGAAGACCCTCATTCCAAACCAATGGTACACATGGGCTGCAGGATCCTGAGGTAACAAATGGCGTATGAACCAATCATTGGTTACCGGTTACCATGGGACTGCATCTCCTAACGTTGCTCCACTGCCTCGTGGATCAGACCTTTAGGTCAAAGGCTCCGAATGTAGCTCCCTGTGAGAACCACCCACTTCGATTCGATAACCCGAGCAATATCTCAGCCCTCACACATATCAAATGAGATCTGTGTGGCGTATATTTATTTGGTGCCGCTTTGTACCAATATCTATGTGTTAAAATAAATAAATAAACTATTAATTAACGAATATTGCTGACACTTTTGACAATACAACTACATTGAATGAACATAAACTATATAAAAATGTTATATGTTTAGACTTTACAAAACTACTGAAATGAGATTTGCTTTAGGGATAATGATATAAAAGTAAAGAAAATACATGTATGTACTTTTCATTAGAATTGATTCATCATTATTTGATTATTGATATGAATAAAACAGATAAAGAAACAAAGTGGTGGAAACTATAATTAAATAGGATATTCATTCATTGAATAAGACTGATATGTTCCTTTATGTAGGTTGAATAACATATACAATCACATTATTATATCCATTATTGAAATGTAAAATGTTATTCAGAAATGAATATCTTTACCAGTATTTATTTATTTAAACACATAAATAATGGTATAAGGAGGTTGTTAATTCTATCGAAACGTTCAAGTAACCCCGATTGAGATACGCGCAAAATCGAAGTTCCAAAACAACGATTTGTCTACAAAAGCGGTTCTTTATTAAATAAAACACAAAATTTAATTACAAACCTCAACTTGTGAGGTGTCTAGGCGTTTAAACGCGTCCTTCAAGAATGAAAATAACAAAGGCTTCCTGTAAGAGTAACATAAAGAATGATTATAACATACGATAGTACAAAGACAGCCGATAGCTGTGTCTAAATGGGACAACAGTTTATGAGTAATCGGAACTCGAACAAAGAGCAAACAATATGGAAACTGTTGCGTTTAAACTAATACACAACTGTGGATAACCGTTACAGTAATTAAAGTACAGTGATTATAATGACAAATACAATAAACATTATAAATATATGTGAACGTTTCAGAATGTTACGGTACAACTTGCGTTACAATGTAAGTGTGAAAATTGTTAAGGATACAACTGCTTACTGAATATAAATAAGTAGTATAAAACAATATACAAAAGAGTGGAAAGAGAGTGAGTAGGAACAATGTAAGATAAACTTAACAGAGGTACTAAATAGATATGCTCCACATAAATCATTCGACTTGTGTGAAGGCTAGGTACTAGCCGGGTGCCCAAAGCTATGTAGATGGTTTTCTTAGGAGGCCACATCTGCAGCCTTAGACGTAAAAGTCTAATCCAATAATAAGGGAGTGGAGCAACATCAGCAGATGCAGTCCCATGGTAGCCGGTGATCAACAATTGGTTCATATGCCATTTATTTCCATATGATTCTGCAGCCTATGTGCACCATTGGTTTGGTATGAAGGTTTTCCAACTTCTCTAGGTGGATCCTCCATATCCACCAACCGGTCAAAGCACCGGACATTCGTTTTTCGTCCTCTCAATTTCTTAAAGAACAGTAATGCCACGAGAAGGCAATGAGTAGGACTTCCCTATCAGTGGTTGTATGTATGTGACCACTTGAGAGCATTTCGAGAGAGAGAGAGTTGGCTCACTCCACTCTCGGCTGTATCAAGGCATTTGGGGGGTAACAAGTGAAACTTAAAAATTAAATTAACTATCATCACTAATTGGTAGCTTAGATTCTACAGTTATTACTTAAAATATTAAATGAATGTAAAATAGAATGAATAAATATTTATTGAATATAGAAAAGGTCCAGACGATAGGTGATTTAAATGAAATTAGACAATAACATCGTTAGATGCCGGCTAGCTCAGTGGTCTAATGTTTAAGCGTTCGTGCTTGAAACTGATAGGTTCTGGGTTCTAAACTCTAAATAATAGTTTGAAGAACTTCATAACAGAATCCTAATATCTTGGAGTTCAAAGAAACTCTCTTTTTTATAGATAAAACAGATCTATATTTGAGTCTACTCTTATCCGATGAGCAAATGTTTCAAATAGATTCACAAAAGCAAGTAAACACTTGTTAATTACTCAATGAATTGAAGACAAATTATAGTAAAGTAATGAATAAACTAAACTGACGAAGATCAACCAATCTATCTGTACAGAGAAGGCAACATGTACGTAAAAAGCTGAATCAAGTACTTAAGTCAGTCAGTCAGTCAGAGACAACGCAGAACTTCATAAGTACGTACGTACATCAGTTCGAGTTGCCATGCCAGATAAGCACACAGGTACAATTGTTGATTCATATCCCATAATGGTAAAGGTAGTAAAAGTATAATCAGTAATGCGAAACACTAGGGTTTGAAGATGTTATTCAAGGAGTATAATAATCCAGTGAAATAAATTTGGAAAGAGAAATAATAAGGGACAAGAAGAATTCAAAAGATTAGAAATTCGGGAGAACACATAGTGGATGCATCTGCGCCATTTCAAACGACTTTGAGCCATGTCATTCAAAGCTCTCTAACTATCAGTTGCTATCATCTCGTGGATCCCAATCCGATAGTCTACACCTACCAATATGGTTCAACCCACTTGTCAATGACTTCATGGATTTATGCCATGTTTTAGTCTGGCCGCTCCTAGCTTTCTTTCAACCTATTATCAATCTCACTATTATAACTTGTGATCCGAATACTTACTTGTTTTGTCTGGTCGTCGCTTACTCGGAACGAGGGACTTCCGGAATTTCCACAACTCGAAAGTAAGAACACAAAGACTGGTATAAGTGAAGATTTATTAACCCAAAAACACGACGACGACCTAGTCGAAAGCACACATTTATATATTGATTGTACACCCATTTTGATTAATAATTGGAATGTAATTCACATATATGAAACATACTTATAGCAAATCACAGATTGAGCATAGTTCATGTCAATGGAATACAAGAATATCGTATATTATACAGAATAAAAGATCATACCGGGAAAACAAAACAACTGCTACACTGAGTAATCAGTACATTGAATCAAAACGGAAATAATATTGAATAAAACCCATAAAGGGTAAATCAATCGAATTTTGACTTTTCTTACCATCATCTCACTCACTAATCATTTGATATGTTTGATTTCACTCGATACATTAATAAGATTATAATTGATTTATCACTAGGTGGTGATCAATGTCATGTATGTCAGGTCATTCTTAGTGCAGATCGAATCCTATTGACTAATTTGCAATGTGGCCACTAGTCTAGGTGACTCGAAATTGCATGCACCATGTTGAGATTAGATGTTGGTTGGAGGTAGTCAACAGGAAACCCTGAACCCGGGTTTCGTGCTACTTGCCACCCATCAGCAAGGTGTACCTGTACTCTTGAGGGGACTGGTTCTCCCTGACGGATTCGATTCCGTGTCACCGAGCTTCACAGTCAGAGATGTTACTACTGAACTAACTGGGCCGTGACTGACCTCCTGCAGGAGTGAGATGTAATCACAATTGATTGATCATTGAGTGGTGATCAATGTTATGTATGTCAGATTCTTCTTAGTGTAGATCGAATGCTATCGACCAAGTACCATATAGCACAAAAACCGGGTCCAATGTTTCTTGTTGACTGCTTCCAACAACCATTATTAAGATTGAAATATAGTCTCTTTAACTCTTGAACTTCTTCATATTTGTATTCATACTATCAATAAATACTTCATTCACCTAACTTTTCTCTTATGTTTCTTATAAACAACCACATTATCAGGTGGTATATCTTGGTTTCAACCTTTCAATGATAATTATATTAATAAAGAAAAACATCAACCAATAAGAAACCATTCAGTGATCAGACATACCAAATTAAATGATCATTTTGATTTGAAACATGATCCAAAATCATTCAAGGAATTTCATTTGAATAGTAAAAAGTTACATATTTTAAACAAACCACACAATGTACATACTTCTAAGATCTCATATTGTATACCAACTAATAATAAAGATCTAAAAAGCGATTATAATGAAGTGAATGATATTTGTTCATGTCAATGTTATATGGAAGAATCTCCTGATATAATAAATGATAAAAATCAAGGTAAAATTGATATTATGTTAACTCAATTGTTTCATTGTGCACATGATTTTGATTATATATATATATATATATCGAACGTACGTGTTACCTTGATGTGATAGTCTGACTTGCCTATCGTGATGAACTAACCAGGTTATATTGACTGGAATAATCGTTCCTCAAGATCCTACCATCAAATCAGTTGATGCGGTGGTGAAACTTCATCGACTAAGATGGTTGGGCCATGTGTTACGTATACCTGAACATCGATTACCACGACGCCCAATGCTGACTAGTGTTGGAGATGGTTGGAAGAAAGTTAGGGGTGGCCAAACCAAAACGTGGCATCTGTCCTTGAAGTCACTAACTTCTAGTATTAATCATGTTGGTAAATGCAGACTACTTGGTTGGTGTCCGCGTGACTACCGTAACCAATGGTTGGAGACTGTGGGTGACATGGGTCAGAATCGATCACAATGGTGTAGGTGTATGCACTCTCTATCTTCCCTTAAACTATGGGATCAAAGTCGCTTCATATCTTTCTTTTATATATTACCACCACTGAATTAACTACTTCTATAATACGGTGTTCATCTTGTTGTGCTGATGAGTGAGGTGTGGCAACTTGCACCTATGTATATATGTGCCTGGTCCTACGTTGTAGCTGACTGACCATACTAAGTGGGTCGGTTGATGAGTGGTAAGAATACGAGTAGCGAATACAAAATTCTAAGGCGAAGTTGTACTGCTGGTTGTACAGAGGTATAACAGCAGCAAGGCGTTTCCCTCAGACAACTAGCATAACAACGAGCAAAGGAAAACAACTGAACTTGGGTTTTGACTATTCAGACTTTTTTCTTCAGTTATTCAGGTAAAAGGAAAAAATATCTGTAGAATACTGGTATACAGTAAAAATTATCTTACTTATTAAATGACTAATCGAATATTTGATCTCCTAGAACTCCATGTATATATACATTTATTCAGTCACTCACTGGTCTTGAGTGGTGTTAGAGGTATGAGGGTAGTTTTCACTCCTCTGTTGCCCACACCGTGGAAAGGTTTTTTCTAGGAACACCTGAGAAGGAAATTGGGTTACAGGTTGTCTTGATGACCTGAGAGCGTGACCGCAGTGACCAAGGGGACAACCGCTTGAGGCCGGTCACACGCGACCTTTTTGTGAGTAATTTTCGTGTTAGCTCCGTGCTTTTTGCGATCTTACCGCCGGAAGCCGAAATTCGTTGGATAAGGTGAGGTGTGCATTTTTAGGGTCAACATTTTTTTTAACTCCAACCTTCCTTTGTGAGAAGACAGCATCGCTGTTGTGCTGGTTGTCTGAGGTAAACGCCTTACTGCTGTCACACCTCTGTACAATCAGCAGTACAACTTCACTCTCGGACCTTGAGTTTGCTGCTTTTAGTCTTGCCACTCTTCAACCGACATACCCGGCATGGCAGGTCCTTGAAGAACGACTGTTCCGATCAGTATAGTTCGACTGGTTGATTGCGATAGGCCATCCCGATCATCATTTCAAGGTAGCAGCAACAGTAGATGAACCTAAATAAGTTTTATTAAAAGATAGTGACATTTATATTGTAACTCATTGATTAACTATTTTTTGGCAGAATCTACTATTTCACAGTTCATCAGCAAAAATTGCCGAATAGTCTAAAGATAAAATAAAAAATTAATTTCCAGTTGTATAATTTCCCTCATCGAATGCAGGTAAAGTGATAGTTTTATCAGTATAGTGCTGTGGAGATTGTTGAGCTTTTATTTATATCATGAATTGATCCCTCGTGCAAAATCGTGGATGCGCACTATTGAGGAGTCCCATACTGGGACGAAACAGTCATCCAATGCTTTCGAGTATTCAATGGTGGTCTAACATTGATACTTTTATGTTTAAATCTGATTTGTTGTGTAATTTTTTGTTTTATAGTAGAAGATCATATAATCTCAACGAAATTACCGGTTGTTTTGTTTGATTTCAGAACAAACTGTAACATCGAAATCAATGGTAGATATGCAATGTACTAACTTCACCATATGGAGAATACAACACCACTACTACATACCGTCGACAAATTGGCTTACGAAGGGAAATCCAATAGCTTGTCAAATCCGAAAATAACTTATGAAATTAGCGATAATCCTGGTGGTTGTACAGATATTCAGGATATATTTCGAAAAAAATGTCATCATGGATATCACGAAGTGAAGAACGTCAAAGACGTCTACGTTTTATTATTCAGGAACGTCGTTATCGAAAAGAAGGAGATATGAAACGAACTGAAGTCTTACATTCAGTTGTATCAAATAATTTTTCGAAACGACCATCTATATCTCACTTGGATCAGTCATATAAAAATCACTTTGATAATGGAATTCATTCAAATGGTGATAGTGGAACTTGTTGCTTTGATCGTTCAGTTATTGGATCTGTACTAACAAACAGAAACAACAGTAATAATTATTTTAGAACAGCTAATTCTGACAAGGTTCTTCAACGTAATTTCATAAAAAGTAAGTCTGTGGTGTGAAACAAGTATCTATCTGATGATTGAATTTCATTTCTATGTGATAAAGTGTTTTGCTTAAGTCATTTTACAGTTATCTATGATAGGATTCATAGTGGATAAATGCGATGGCGTTTGAAGTGAACGGTACTGAGTTCGAGTTCCAGAGTGAACATCAACTATGAGATGCAGGTACACCTAGCTGACGAGTCCCAAATAGGTCGAAACGCGCGTCGAACTAGATTCCACCACTAGTCACTATCCATCTTTGCTTAAAAATACCTAAGTAGTATTGATGATATTTCCGTTAAAAAAATGACTATAAATCAATACACCATTTGACATTAGTGAAATGCACTTAACATTATTTGGTTGGATTAATCGACATCTCCCAAATTAGATGTACAATGGTATGTTTAAACTTCTGGATGAACATTTATTTTCAAATGTTTACACTTTAGATTTGTTTTAATTCACCAGTTATGTCTATTAACCACACGCATTTATGGGAAAGATGACCATACGACGATTACAACCAGTTACAGATCTAATCACTAGGAAACCTGAGGAGTAACGTCTCACTATGGTTCGAATATTTTCCTCTTTCATCATTGAATTCTCACTGAGTCATGGTAATTTAAACTTCCAACAATCAACTTCTATCCTATCCCTGCCTGCGTTGTTATAAAAGATAAACATTATGTTTTCGGCTGTGTGATCGATTGCCTGAATTAACGTTGAGTGAGAGATATATTGTGAAAACCGTATCAGTGAACGGATGTTAAGAGGGTACATAGTCAGCCAGCAGAAAAGCATACGATCTACTCAGTAAAACTATTGACTTGGAAGTTTTACAGGACGAAATCTGTTCAACAAAATAACTTTGAAGAGACGAAAACTTACTACGATTATAGTCATGATTTTTATGGGTTCACATGAACATGTGACCGAAGTATTCTTATCGACTTTCCCTCTTTCCCTCCCTATCTCACTTCTTTCTTCTTTCTAAAGAAGCTTTCCGTCGAATAATGTACTTTTTGTTCCTACATGGTCACTTTTGTTTTATTAGTAGATCAGTTTAAATGTTACCTTGTAATTGCATTTTGACTAAATCTAATTAACTTATTGGTCTTCACAAATTTTGATTTTATTCTATTGGTAACAATCATTTAGATCCCAGTCGAAAATCACAACTTAGTGTTAGATATGATCGAAAACAGTTAATACAAGAAGAACATCGACCTAGGTAAGTATTTGTCAATGATCTTATTAGCAACACATAATGCATATATTTTATCAATGTAGGGACGGCTTCCGAGAACTACGACGGAGCCTTCAGAGGCCTTAGAAGATCCGAAAAGTCCCATCTAATCAGAACTCAATGAAGCTTTCTAGAATGTCAACGTGGTATGCTATCATTGATCAGTAGAGTAACATGCCTCTTTGCGGATTGGTTAAATTATAATGTTGATTTAACAAACGCCAATATTTATAAGTACCCATGATTTTCTGCATATTTTGATTCTTTCCCAACAACCGCTTTCTTCAGTCTTCTTCTATCATCTCATTTGCGACTTGGGAGGGTTCTCGAGTTCGAGTTATACGCGGTATATTAAGAATCTAAGCTCTAGATATAACACAAAGCCTAAATACAATAAAAAATTTTCCTTGAAAATGATCACAGTCGTCAGATTAATGTTATAAGCCAGATCTTGAACCTACAGATTCATGCATAGGGTCTTAATTTTGATAGAATCAAGGAATGCGAAAAGACAAACTATCGACCTATTGAATTATATCGCGTCAGGTATAAATAAAATAATCACATCATTCTCTATTGACATTAGTAAATAAACCCTTTCGTCAATATTTCATTATTTCCATTGAATTAACTCATTATTATGAACATGGTAACTACTGCTTAGTTTGTTATTCCTCGTTGAGCACCCAAATGCCCTGGTACGGCCGAGAGTGAGGAGAGTCATCTTTCCCTCTCGAACTGCTCTCACATAGCGACGCCTGTACAGCCACTGACAGCGAACTACAACTCACTGCCATCTCGCAGCTGGGGTGTTTTTTTACGAAATTGAGATGACAAAAGGCGAATGTCCAAAGCCTTAACTGGGTTGATGGATATGGAGGATCCACCTAGGGGTCATGGAAAACCCTCATTCCAAATCAATGGTGCATATGGAATCTAGGATCCTGAAGGAACAAATGGCGTATGAACCAATCGTTGGTGATCGGCTACCATGGGACTGCATTTCCTTACTTTGCTCCACTGCCTTGTGGATCAGACCTTTAGGTTGAAGTCTCCGAGTGTTCCCCCCTATGAGAACCACCTCTTTCGGTTTGGGCACCCGGGAAGTGTCCCAACCCTCACATAAATCGAATGATTTATGTGGTGCATATGTATTTGGTGCCTCCTTGTACCAATGTTTAAATAAATAAATAAGGATTAACATATATAAGCGAACAATATTGTTTTCGATTAGATCCTCGTTAGGCTTTACTCTAATATACAGTAATGTATTTATATGCATATAAGAAATTATTAAACCAATCAAGGTAGTTTATAAGTCAATGATAACAATGAAAACGGTTACATAATAAGTAAAATGTGAAAAGTACAAATTGATGGTGTGACAACAGGTGCATTAGTTTTGATAAGCAAATAATAAAGGTTCAAATCAATGTTACATAATCTGAAATAGGTCAATGATTAGAAAAATATAGAAACTGAGATAACAAGTATAAAATTATAACATGACGTAATAAGAAATGTTCAGATAATTGGACCATGAAACGTATAGTTGAGAGAAAATAAAGTGGTAGGAGGGTGTGATGAAAAATAATAAACGAAGAAAAAGTTAGAAAAGGAATAAATAAACAAATAAATTCATTTGTTACTTAAGGCCAAGGGAGAGATAAAGGAGTTACAAATTTCTTGTGAACACAAAGACTTGGCTTGTTGGCTCGGATTCCTATAGCTTCTGCTATGTGTAAGAGACGAGATCGAATACCATAAGGGAAACTAGCGGGAATCCGATAAATAAATTTGAACGACTTGTTTCTGTCCACTATATGACCGCTATCGATCAAGTGTGATAGAACCGAGCTGCGTATTGTGTTTGACGTAACCTTTTCCTAACCACGAAGGGAGGTGTTCACTAACTCGTTGGTTTAGTTGCCTGGTAGTGCGCCCAATATAGCTTTCTCCACAAGAGCAGCTGAATTCTTTTCCTAACTTTCTCTTCGTTTATTATTTTTCTTCACACCCTCCTACCACTTTATTTTCTCTCAACTATACGTTTCATGGTCCAATTATCGGAACATTTCTTATTACGTCATCTTATAAATTTATAATTGTGATATACTTATTGTTAAGGCTCTTAAAATAACACTAACTTGTTACTTACTTATAGTTGCTAGCAAAATATGTGAATAGTTAACCATCACTGAACTTAATGAATGATAGAATTTTAAGGAACACAAAGCTTTTTCTTTATTATAATCAGAGGTTTTTTGTAAATACTCTAGTAATTTTTAATAGTTGAATTCGTAAGTCAATTAAAACTAGATCACCATGGAAAACCTGGAAGCACTGGATGGCCGTTTCATCCTAGTACAGGACTCCTTAACAGTGCGCATTCACGACCCCAGGACCTATCAGTCTCGCGCGTGAGTGCTGAACCTTTAGACCACTGAGCGCGTATCTAACGCTGTTAATGTCTAAGTTCAACCAATCCAAGAAGTTGCGCCACAGTCCACCATTGTCATCAGTAAGTTACTATCTAAAAGATGTCAGTTTGTAGGTTATATTGACAGATTGTTATTTGTTGTCCCTACCAGAGAATATGAGTTATTTTTCGCTCTTTTCTTCTTAATTAACATAGATTATATCATAATTCTATACAGAACCAAGTTAATCAACAAAAAATTAAATTGGCCCAATTACGTGTTAATCGACTCCGAATGAAAATATACAGTGAAGTATGTAATTCTATTTGTATATTAATTACACTTTAGATTATATAATTATTTACAATTCATTGATCACTAGGTGATGATCAGTATCATGTATGTCAGGTCATTTTTAGTGCAGATCGAATCCTATTGACTAATTTGCAATGTGGCCACTAGTCTAGGTGACTCGAAATTGCGTCGAGATAAGATGGTGATTGGAGGTAGTTAACAGGAAACCCTGGACCCGGGTTTCGTGGTACCAGACACCCATCAGCAAGGTATACCTGTAACCTTGAGGAATTGGTGCTTCCTGATGGACTCGATCCCGTGACATCCAGCTCCACAGTCAGATATGTTACTTTTGAGCTATCCGGGCCGCGACTGGCCTCCTGTAGGAGTGAGATGTATTCACAATTGATTGATCACTGGGTGGTGATCAATGTTATGTATGTCAGATTCTTCTTAGTGCAGATCGAATCCTACTGACCAAGTTATAATATGGTCACTAATCTAGGTGACTCAACATTGAGTGCACTATGTCAGGGAGCATCAATTTCCCCAGGATTACACGTACATCTTTGTGACGAGTGCCAAGTAGCACGGAACCCGGTTTTAGGGTTTACTGTTGACTATCGCCAACCATCATCTTATATCTGTTTATTGAGTTTTTATTTAATTATGTGTATGTTCGTTGAAATTTTTTTTATTTTAGAAAATTCTACGTTCTGTACTTCATGGTAATTCATCATCAATAATATTTAAAGAAATTTAATAGAGTCGCAATTTTGAGATGTTGGAGAAGATTTATAACTCAGATGAATGATTTTGATAGAGTATTTTTGTTTCTCTGAGATAGATGATTTGATTGTGGAATATTCATTGTTCTTCTAAACAACATCATCAACAACACAAACTTCAAGTACATGTGAAGTGTTCGAATTGTGTTGATGATTATCGTTGAAAAGAACGATGAAATCTTCATGACCAAACCATTCAGCTTAAAGAACAATACTCTATCATAGTCGCGATTGAATGTCCTAATATATAGATACACACACATATATATTATATTTGAAGTAATGCTTGAAATGATTAATAATGAGAAACAACCTATACTGTAATTTAATGTTAAACATTTTATTAGTTTTGAGTTGTTATTAACTTTTATTTTTAATGGTTTCGGATGATTTTAACTTTATTAACATAGAATCCATTCACAATTTCATTCATCCCTGTGTCATGATTATGATTTATAAGCTGCTTGAATTAGTTTCAATATAACTTACAAACTTTGTTTTTTGAAAATAAACTTGGTTCATCAAATTTCAATTGTATTTTCACACGTATCGTACTATTCAGTATGAAATTTGTTACCTTGTTTTCAATATAAATTAATTGTACTATTTAATATGTTGAGTCTTGTATTCGCTGACAACTAATGATTGTTTATTATTATATTGATACAATGAGACACCAAATACACATGGGCCACACAAATCTCATTTGATATGTGTGAGGGCTGTGATACTGCCCAGGTGACCAAACCGAGGCAGGTGGTTTTCTTAGGGGGCCACATCCGGAGCTTTCGACCTGAAGGTCTGATCCACAAGGTGGTGGAGCATCGTAAGGAGATGCAGTCGCATGGTAGCCGGTAACCAATGATTGGTTCATACGCCATTTGTTCCTTCAGGATACTGGAGCCCATGTGCACAATTGGCTTGCAATAAAGACTTTCCAACTCCACTACATGGATCCTCCATATCCACCAACCCGGTTACAGCATCGGATATTCGCTTTTCGTCCTCTCAGTTTTGTAAATAAAACCCCTGCTACGAGAAGGCAGTGAGTAGGATTTTCCCGGCAGAAGCTATATACACACGTGGCCATGTGAGAGCACTTTAAGAGGGAGAGCGGACTCTCCCCACTCTTGGCCGTACCAGGGCATTTGGGGGCACTACTTACTTACGCCTGTTACTCCTCATGGAGGAGCATAGGCCGCCCACCAGCACTGTCCGCCTGTAGCTCTTCTAGAGTTACTGCCGGTCCCAAGTCAGAGTAAAGGAGGGGGTTGGGCATGGGGTTAGCGACCCCATCCCGTAGAAAACTCACCAAAAAAACGCTAACCAGAAAAAATAATTCAAACCAGTCTATAAATTAGAACCAGTTTAATCTTATACATAACTTTTTTCCTTGAGGTATATTCACGTTTTATTAAAAGCCTTGTTTCGATCTGAAAACAGGTCGGATGAGGTAGTGTCCTAGAATATTAGGCCATAGAACCAAAACATGGTACTAATAAACTAAATTTTGTTCCTACATGCAGGTGTATAGAACAAATACACCATATTCAATCAATACTGCTCTGTATAAATTGAAACGAAACTTAAGGGTATGTTGTTGAAGTGAGGAGAGCATGTAGTAGTAAAAATAACATAGATTTATACATCATCATAATCTGTATTTACTGTACTTTTGAACTCATTTGTTTTATCAACAGTTAGAATGTTAATAGGAAAACGCCAATTAAAGGCATGAGTGATAAATGAGTCAATTTTGTTCAGTGATATGGATCGACGGAGATCAGAGAAAAAACGATAATATTGGTGGGAATTGTGACTAAAATTATAAAGAAAGAAACAAATTAAACTCATGGATTTCGGTTTTCAAAGTAAACTGAAAAACAAATTGTGTAAAACGTACGAATGGTATGGTATTATGATCAAATAGTCGGGGGGGGATTATCAAGTTTCATAAAATTGTTAAGGTTTACGATTATTACCTTTCAAATATTGACAAGAGTTGAAATATGATCGAAAAGACCACAACCACCTTTACTATACAGCAGAAAATCCTTTAATGTGTCTCATCTAGGGACTTTTTAATAAGAATAATCTATCATCTATTGTCATTAGACAAGATTTCAACATTCTAATATTGTATACAGTAATTTGTTTTGTATGAAAGTAAACCAATCTAGTGTTCTGATCTATTTTATTACGACCAAGCTACTCTAATTGCTTATTCTTTGGATGCTACTATTTCACTCGACAAGTCCCCAAATCAAAACACAGTTGAACAGAAACGTAATTATATATATATGTATATATAATTTTATACAAGGCTCGCGTCTTACCTAATTCGACGTGCGATGTTCAGTGGTATAGGAGTAGGTTGGAAGAAAGCTAGAGGCGGCCAGACCAAAACATGACACAAGTCCATAAAGTCACTGACAAGTGGTCTGAGTCATGTTGGCAGGTGTAGACTACTTGGTTGAGGACCGCGAGATGATAGCAACTGATGGTTAGAGACCTTGAGTGACATGGCTCAAAATCGTTTGCAATGGCGCAGATGCATCCACTCTTTGTGTTCTCCCAAATTTTGATCTCCTTATTCCTCCTTGTCTCTTTTTTTCTCCTCTCAAATTTATTTCACTGTATTATACTCTTTAAGTAACATCTCCAAACCCTAATCTTTCCGATTACTGCTTATACTCTTATTACCCCTCACACTACGGGATTTGAATCGACCACTGCATCTCTATGCTAATGTGGTGTGGCAACTCGAACTGATGTACGTACGTACGAAGTTCTACGTTGTTACTGACTGACTCTTACCTAATTAATCGCTAGCGCATCGGCTAAGAAATGGTCAGACAGTGCGCTCCAACACAATCCTACACATAGCATGCTTTAATCTAATCTGTTCTGTTGACACCTAGATGTCAGTCGTCTTATTTGTTTGGGGTTAAAGGTACTAGAGTATTGGAACAACGATGCCATTAGCGTTCGCTGTTCCAAATTTGAATAAAATTACCAGTCAAACGGTTGTTAAGCTTGCTAGATACAACTAAGTAAAATAGACGTTTAGTCGGTAGTGTATGTGATCTGAAGTCTGTTTTAATTCAGAGTCCTGATGGCGATTGTATCAAAATTAAAACTGAAACTATATATTTCAATATGACGGCATACCGATTATCAGGTCGGATTAAATGAAGTTGTTTAGTACTTTTGATACTGGCTGGTGTTAAATGTATGCCGAATATTACAGCTTCAGCGCCCCTGAATGTCTTAGTACGGTCGGTGGTGAGCTCATGCTCTCTCTTGAAATGCCCTCATGTGGCCATATGTTTATAACTTTTGACAAGGAAGTCCTAATTACTGTTTTTTAGCGGCAGAAGTGTTTTACGGGAGCGAAGGAACAAGGACGGAGGACCCACTTGTGGGATTTGAGAGACCCAGACTTAAAACTGACTGTATACACTGTCTCCATGCTTCGTGAGGACGAACAGTGTCACTACTTACCATGGCACTAAAGGTCCTGACGTTGCACAACGGACTATACCTCCATGTCGAGGGTTCAGGGAGTGACCTCTTAAGAAAACCAACTACTTTTGTCTCAACGCCTAACCAGTACCCCAGACACTACACAAACTCCTCTGTTTTAACTTTACTTCTTTATTTCCAGTTTATGTACACTTCAACCCCTTCGACAATCAACAATTTAAATAAGAAAGAAAGATTAGTTCAGCGAAGAGTTCTCTTTTCGGCGAATTCATTTTCAAAGCTGTACAATCGCAAATATATATACTTATTTTTACAGGGTGATAATAATACTGATAATAAACTTATGTTATACATGGTGACAGTGAGGTTAAATAAACAAAGGTATTAGAAAAAAAATTTTTTTAAACAAGGAAAGTTTGATAGTTAATGGCTTAGATATTCATCGGGTAAGAGTAGCTCAGCATGATAAAATAACATAAAATACGGAAACAGAGATGAAATGTAATCGGAATGATCGTTGAAATAAAAACAAACCGGTTGGGGGTACAAGATTTGAAGGGAAGATGGAAGGTGAAGCAGGTGGCTGTAAAAGAACAAGAGTAATGAGAAAGAGAAAAATTTTTAATACATTAAGACCATGGTAAAAGAAGAGGATGTATCAGTCTCTTTTGTACACATAATTCTGGTTTTTCAAAATGTATGGCTATTGCCTCGGCAATGCAAAGAAGATGTAGTCTAATTGTCTTAGGAAGGCTTCTACTTACCTTGTAGATGACTTTGAACGCAGAGTCTGTCTTGATTGAGTGACCTGTGTTCACAAGGTGTTCGATTATAGAACTTCTTATTGAGCCGCTGCCTCCTCTCCTTAGCCACGCCGGACAATGTTCTTGAATTCTTTTGGATAAAGTACGCATCGAACGACCTATATACCTAGCTCCACAAGAGCAGGTAAAGGTGATAGAGCTGCATATATCTTAAAGAGGAGAATTTCAGATTCTTTAAAAAGAACATTCTTCGCAGCAACATTGCGAATATTATTCTCCAGCCGATCACTGTTCACCAATAATCTGAAAGATAAATTATCGCATCTGACCAATTCAATGTGCATTTACCAATTTACCTGCTCTTGTGGAGCTAGGTATATAGGTCGTTCGATGCGTACTTTATCCAAAAGAATTCAAGAACATTGTCCGGCGTGGCTAAGGAGAGGAGGCAGCGGCTCAATAAGAAGTTCTATAATCGAACACCTTGTGAACACAGGTCACTCAATCAAGACAGACTCTGCGTTCAAAGTCATCTACAAGGTAAGTAGAAGCCTTCCTAAGACAATTAGACTACATCTTCTTTGCATTGCCGAGGCAATAGCCATACATTTTGAAAAACCAGAATTATGTGTACAAAAGAGACTGATACATCCTCTTCTTTTACCATGGTCTTAATGTATTAAAAATTTTTCTCTTTCTCATTACTCTTGTTCTTTTACAGCCAC